AACGCCGGGGTGCGAGGCAATCAAACAAACACTGCTAACACAAGCCACCTGAATGTGGAAGCTTCCACGGGGTATGATGTTCCAATGCAGATTTTCCCGATCTACTTATCACACGTCAGGATTAATCTATTCGAAAATTGCGTTTACTGAGATCGCTTGAAAAAAAATGCACCCAACACATTCTCGGGGGTGTCACTCCAAGCTCATATTGAAAATTTGCAATGCTTCTTTGTATGGTCTGTGAAAATTATGGGATATCTCCTGATGACATGAGTCCATTGTTCCTTTTGATCGAGCTGACTTGCTTCGTCAGGGACTTTTCGAGCAGAGTGTCGGTGAGCAGCTGTCTATCACAACCCAGAGAGCATATAGTGGTTCCTTCTTGAAAAGACTTTATCGTTGAATTTGACGTCGAGGAACTGGACCCATTTCTGTAGGATGGTCTCCTCAGAAGAGAACTGCAGTTGCTTTCTGGTATCGAGCTAGGCAGTTGTTAATTCAGCAATTACCTGATCATTTTGTACGTCTTTGAACTCGGTAAAACAACACATTTTAGTCTGGAGCGACGATTACTGCAACCCATTCAGTAGAATTACTGTACAAAGAGCAGTTGATAATTTTTTAGAGAAGATCGTCCAGCTGTAGCACTTTTTCGGTGCCTAACTGCCATGCTACCCGAAGGAAGCACGAAGACGGGGATACCGCCAGGTTGTCCAAACCTAGACGGGAGAAGTCAATGTGTAGAGGTCGGGTTCGAACCACGTACATCCCGGTCTATAAATCCGCTCTCTAGCCCGAGAGCCATCTCACCCCCACAGAAGCTTGAATATGACTAACCTTTTTCAAGTTAGGTATGCAGTGGTCATGCTCAAAATAGTTCACCTGAGGGTTGAAGCCCTCACTTAAGTTAAATCACTTCTGTGGTCTTGTCTTTTCATTACATACACATTGTAATTTTGCATCCCAAAAGGCGAGAACCTCCAGAAGGGCATGATTCCAGTTGGCCCCAATGGTGTCCCCTCTATGAAAGGAATGACGTATCTGAGATGCAATCACTTGTCACCATAATGTAAAACCACGTTTGCCTGGACTAAAGCTCTAGTCCAGCGCTTCTACTACTTGGTTTGGGCCCACCAGAATAATCTAGTTTGCCAAAAGTCTGCTATCTACTTCCGGGGGTGGAAGAAACTTGAACAATTGGAGACAATTATGCCAGAAGTTACTAACTGACTACTGAAATGATTCGCTAACGAATGCCGTGTCAGAACAAAGTTCACCTCCCTGGAACGACTGTCGTTATCCAGTCTCGTCATCGGATAGCGTGAGCCACAGTAGAATTGCACGTTTGTCTGTGAATCGCCCCTGAAATTTCGAGCCAACTGCTATCAAAGAGACGCCCTGATTCACTTGGACTGCTTAATTGTAGAACGATGATTACCACTGCCGACATTCTTAAGGAAACCTCTGAAGAGTTCTTCCATTACTCCTAATCGGTTGATTTTTGAAGTCTGGCACGGTGGAATGGTAGGTTTCACAAAACGGAATCATCAAAATGATGAAAGTGCCTCTCCAGTTTCGACGTGTCTGTTGACATGGAACTTTAGAATCCATTTTCTAATCTATACATCTCCACTTCGGTCGACATGACATGACAAGACAGGCCAGCAGTTTACTTCTTGTTCATCACCGCTGTGCACTTTTCAGATGAATATTTTAACGGATTTGTAAAAGGACACAAATTACTTACAAATGTGTATTTATCTGGTAAGATGCTAACGGAAACGATCGTTCTCAAACTTGTGTACTCTAAGTTCAACGTTCGATGAAAACCGATAGTTAGAACAAGCTGAAAAGCACAGTACAGCTGTTTCATCCCTGTCTGGAATCATTAGGACTGCGTACCCTACGAAAATCCAGTCGGTAGCATCGAACCCGTGATCTCCCGAGCAGTGGTTTGAACGGTTAACGGTTCAGCCACAAACGGTCATTTTTAAAGATCAACCACCTCCAAAGGGAGATAACCCCGAGAAGGCAACGCCCACGCATTTTTAGAGCATAGCCACTCACACCACCTAATGCCATTGCATTAAAGCAAGTGTGCACTTTAGACTGCTGCTTTCGAAGTGACCTTTGGAGACAAAAGCACTTCATTTGGAAGAACTGAATAGTCGGAAACATTCACATAACAAGTTGGCCATATAGATTAAGACGCCCTTTTTCGAGATCCTTTCACTAGGCGTGAACACGCAGTTGATCGAGATGTTGATCAGAGATGTTTTGCTGTCTCGACAAGTTAGACGCACCGAACTACGTAAAGATGTTGTCAGCTATACTTTGTTTTGATATCACAAGAAAGCCGTATTATATCTTGTAGGTAGTAACGCTGTCTGACTGAAGGATGAGTATTACTATGCTTTCTCTCTCTGGGTTCGAGCTGCTCTCGCCGTTGACCAGCCCCATACACAGCTGCTAGTTGGAACCTCCAGGCACTGGGGACATGCGTATGGCGGAGGGCGAGCCAGATTTACGGGGCTTTTCATCATAGGTTGACCACACTCGCAGATTTGTGGTCTGTTTATGGCTCAAGCGGCCTCAAAGCGGCGTCTCATTCAGAGATGCTTTTCAAGAAGGAATTGCTTTGCACGTGAATCAGCGTAGTCAAGTACAACCGTACCGGAAGAATCCATGAACCGCAATCGTATGTGCCATTCCCAGGAGGATTGAACTCACGAGATGTGCTCACTGTGCTCACTTCGCCCAACGGTAGTGTGAGTTGCGTGGGGTGTATGGAGGAGCCAATCTGCTGTCTGTCACCGAAATTGCACTGCTTTCCGTTGGGATCTCACCCTACTTTCAACCGTTTTTTTGCCTCACAGTGTGCTGTCTTTCAACCGCCAAAATCAATTTTTGACCCATTCTACTTCTAAAACTAAGACATGCATCCATGTTGTACATGAACACGGCTTAACCTTGGCTTCGGTTAGTGAAAAATGCATCCCACTACGACAACGGTGGTTGAATTCGATCGCAGATTTTAGCCATTAGTAACATGAAAGGTGTGGGAACGACCGCACACGACGGCACTTCGTAAACGGAACCTTTCTTAGCGCTACACTACGTAAGCGAGACCAGTAATTTCAGGACCATTCTTTGGCTGTGGCCGTATCTTTTCAAGCCCTCGACCGTGATACCATCGTAATTCTGGTCAACTGAGTGAATTAGATTTCTTTTCTGCCGTCCAGTTACATTAAATCTCCCAAGCACCATCCTCGCTGTTTATGGGAAACCGCTGTACCTCGCAAAGTCAGTTCTTCACAAGAAAAGAACGATTTCTACTGACCTCGACAGTGGTTGGTCTTTGGGTGAGCATTGTGCTTAGAAGTCACGTGATAAATGGGAATCCTCAGATGAAGCGTTTCAGATTTATGTTCTGTGCCATCGATCGATCGATCGGCCGGTCAGTCAATCAATCATCCGTTCCCAGCTTCGCCGTGTGCGGCGTAACCTTACGCACATGGAAGTCTTGTCGTATAAATGCTGGACACAACAGATTATGGCACGTGCACTGGACATGAAGGTCGTACTGAACAGCTGGTGACCTAAAAACGCACCATAAAATCAGTTCGCATCCGTTTAGATGACACAGGTTTGGGGAGGCGCTTTCGTAAGATTTTGTACAACCGTCATTGTGTTAGCCAAATGCACGCAGATGTTTTGAGCTTCCTGACAAATAGTTGAACGATGCTGCCGGTAATCTTGACACCCAAACATCTAGGTGAATTTGTAGCCCGTGTCTCTGATGCAGAAATAAAAGCGAACAAAATATTCTATGAAACATTTGCACACGGTTGACGGGATGTGTTGTTTCTACATCGTGTACTGCGTTGCCCGAATCACTGGCGTCTGATCGATCGAACAAACCATGTGAACAGTGATCAAACGTCACAAGAACAACAACCCTAGCCCTAGCAGCGTTTAGATTCACTCTCAACTCCAGCTGACTGTTGATCCAATGCTCCATGAATCAGAAAGTCGTCCTAGTGTAACGGTGATACTACTGATGGGGGGGCATGCGAGCAGTATGTGTTGTTCTTGGAATTTAGCTTTGCATCTCTTGAAAAGGGGAGATCTGTTGCGGAATTTGTGGAGTCGCTTTGTAACATTTGCTTGGATTTGAGTAATGAATGATTGGAGTCAATGAATATCCAGGAAAGTTCAAGAAGACGCGTTCAGGAGAAGATGGATGTTCAGTTTTGTAAATAAGATGCAAATGAGAGTTTTGCTTCCCTGTCCAATAGTCTGTAACAGGTCAGTTGGCGCTTCTTAATAAATAACTCCACAGCCAAGGCCTTCTTCCTTCCAATAGTAGTAATAATAATAGTATTCTGTAAGCAACAGACTCAGTCTGGTTATCTGTGATCGATGTGAAGTGTCGGTTCGTGAATAAGCCGTCTGGGTAGGATTCGAATGAACTCCAGCCACCCACCCCAGACTTCATGCAGCAATGCAGATTGGGCATAGCCAACGATTCTCTCGATGTTTTCAGCAGTGGAAGCACGCGCACATGATGAAGAAGCCTTGGTTGAGTTCTTGGAACCGCAGTCTGTTAACCGACCCGTAGTAGCCGGTTCTAAAAGGCACAGAATGATCCACCCACTCGAATTTGTGCATCATTCGGCTCAATCTATTGTCCTCGGCAATTAATTCCATCGTCTCCGTGGCAAATCGGGGGTCTATAAGCGAAATCTTAGGCCGTTCAATATCTATCACCGGCTTGGTTCTTTCGGATGACTGACAGGCTAACATTAAGTTGGGGCAATAGCTTCGTTTTCTTAAAGCGTTACTGAACACCAATCTGTTTTGCTTAATGTTCAAGAAGCTTAACTGAGGTATACACTTCAAAATTGTGTTGATTGAACCCACCTTCTAGGCGCGTGAATTTTGTCTTCAGCTGATGTGTTAGTAGGAATCATGTGATCATTATCACGGATTGCCACAATTCAAGGCAAATCTCCAAGTCCTGGATGGACTAACAGAACCATCGATTTGCGTCGAAGAAAGGACTAGGTACAATGTGCCACCATCAACCATCCAAGAGGAACGCGAAGCTGACTGCCCTTCGTCGTGTAGGGATCAGCAGATTTCATTGTTCCTTTTTTCGGCCGACTAAACCACAGTTTTTTTCAGTTTTTCAGGATACCTCATAATCTGCTCCATTTTACTGGTTGCCCCTTCAGTCCACCACAACATGGTGACCGATCTCACATTGTTTCCTCATACTTTACTCAACAGGATGACAAAAAACGCATGGAGGAGCACGGGGACGAAGGAATGGGTGAACCGGACTTGCGTCTCGGTGAAACACTAACCTATTTGCAACACGCCGCATCTGGCCGATGGCTGTCTTACGAGGCCTACGAAACGAAAAAGCGCGGACTTGGTCGCGTAGAAGAAAAGAAGGCCACACTCCTTGTGGAAGGTCATATGGACGATCTGTTTAGTCTCGTTCGTGCACAAGACGAAGAGATCAAATCCGCCTCCGCGATTCGTCGATGTACCGCCGTTTTCAGTTCGTTTGTCAACACACTGCGCTACATCTGTCCTCCACATCAAACCGGATACAGTGGACCACAAATCCAACCACTGAATCCACAGTCTCCGGCCATTTTGCGTCTCACCAGCGGAGTTCTTCTTGGTGAGGTTACTCAGTGTCTTGAAGATCTGATAGACTTTTTCGCCCAACCAGACCCCCATGAAGAACACGAGGTTCGACAAGCCAAACTAGCGGCACTGCGTAATCGACAGAACCTCTTTCAAAACGAAGGCATGATTGGCTGCGTGCTGAACACGATCGAACGGTTCACAGGCACATTTCAAACCCGGCGCGAGTTCTCCCAAGTTGTGGGTGAAGACAAGTCTGAACAATTCGATCGTTTGGGAAATTACCTCTATCTATTATTGGCAGCTCTGATTCGTGGGAATCGCGAGAACTGCGCCCAGTTCGCCACTCCAAGCCGTTTGGACTGGCTGTTCAACCGACTGGAGCTTCAAGAAGGATTTGCTGAAGGCGTCCTGGATGCACTACATTGTGTGTTAACGGACAGCGATGAAGCTCTGTATCTGATTACGGAACGGCACATTCGGACCTTGATCAGTTTACTTGACAAACAGGGTCGTGATCCAAGGGTAAGTCCATTTCACATGGGGTCGTCGGTATGACTCAGTGATTGTTAGCTTGACGCTGATTGGTTGAGATTGGTTGTGAGACGCATGACTTAGCTTACAGGAAAGTAAGGTGACAAGTGGCAGGCAAGGGAGAGGGAAAGTCAGAGTTGATGTGTCGTTACCCCCTTATTGGATAGAACTGCGTTACAACGTGGCGTTGGACTAACTTTTTTCTAACTTACTACTACTTGTTCCAAGTTGGGGATGAAACAGTTATGACTTGATTGCATCAAGTGCTTCTCCATTATATGCCCCCAACCGTATAGACTTGCTTGGCGACGAAGCACTGGTGTCTATGTGCAGACGTAATACATTACTCATAAGAATGCCAAAAACTCTTCAACAGCCTGCGACCGGTTTCACCCTTCTTCAGGGCTCATCAACTGGGCGCAGTCCCCGAGTTTTCGTCAACCTTATGTTCTACTTGAAATACATCGATCTTCATACAAATTTGGTTTCAAGACATCATAATTGAAGGATTAAAAAATAAACATAAATAAATCGTTCAGCTGTAACAGCCTTGCGGTGTCTAGCTGCCATGCTACCCGAAGGAAGCACGAGGGCTGGGATACTACCAGGTTGCCCATGTGTAGACAGAGGAAGTCAAGAGGTAGGGGTCGGATTCGAACCACGGACCTTCCGGTCAGTAAATTCGCGCTCTAACCACTTGAGCCAACTCGCCCCCGTTGCCCTTTGCGAGAAGTACGATAACTGGTAGTTCCGCACGTTTCGCATGTCTATTCAAAACTGTTGTTCATTTCCTAACTAACTAATCTCAGCTGTTGACCCCACTTATTTGGGTAGCCTACGTGGATGTCGAGCGATTCATCCTGTTTTTGAAAAGTTAGAAGTTCGTTTGAAATCAACCCTTTGTTTACTCTCATTGTGGACAAATCCCTACACCATCTGTCCCACTAAGGACACTACGTGTGTGTGTAATATCATTTCTTCGCAAACTTGTGTGAATCTACATTCGTAATGCACTACTCATAAGGTTGCTGAAAATCTTTGGACAGTCCACTGCCGGTTTCGCCCCGTCCTGGGGCTCATCAGGTAGGCGCAATTTCCCACTGGAAACATCACAAAAGAGAGATTCAGCTGGGTTCCCTGGAAACATAAGAGAGATTCAGCTGGGTTCCAAATGTGTTTATCGCAAAACCAAATATGTATTTCGCTAATTGTGTGAATCTACCTTGACCACCACAAACGTGACGTGTGCTTGCTGCTCGATTTACAGGTACTCCAAGCACTTTGTTCACTCTGCCTCGGGCGCCAGGGAGGTGCGGTGCGTTTGAACCAGGACTTGATCTACAACACCCTGTTACCTCAGCGTGACCTACTGTTGCAAACCAAACTGGTGGATCAGTGCGGATCGATGCGTCCCAACTTGTTTGTGGGCATCAAGGAGGTGAGTCTCGTGATTTTCTGTGTGCACAGTTGTCTTGATATATGTGTCCGGAAGGGTTAGCGTGAACCCCAGTTAAACTGGAAAACGTGTTGGGTACATTCTAATGCTCCGGAGTCTGTTGTGGAAACCTGCATATCAATGCAGGTAAATTTACTGCATCCCTCAACAGTTTCTTGATATTTTCCCTGGATTTTCCCCACTCCAAACTTCGGAAGTGAATCTCCAACAAACTTTTGCATTGTTGGTGAGTAAACTGTTGAGCAGCAGTTCTTACGCCTGTGTGTGTTTTCTGGAGTAGACACCAAAGTACACATGATATAAACAAGAGGGCAGATGTCTATTGACTGGACTCGAACCAATGGCCGCTCAATTAGTGCACTAGCGTCTTACCGCTGAGCTAAAGCGACTGCTGTCCGGATTCGCGCACATGTACTTCTGTTCCGTGTTGATCATCCATACATGTCTAATAAACTGACGGTTCGTGTATACGAGCACCAAAAGTGTGGCTTCCAAATTGGACAGGACCCGAAGTTGTCCAGGAGGCAGAAAACAGTTGATTGGACAATCTTATGTACGGCTGCTCTGATAAACAGGGTTGTAGTAGACCACTGTGACATGGAACAAGATTTGCTCACCCGCTGGTCATGGGTTCGAGTTCTGTCCTGTCCTTGTTATCGCAATGTTTAGTGAAGTTTCTATTCGATGTAACTATGATCTGGGTTTCTTTTTCGGCAATTAATATGCTGGAGTTCTATTGAAAAATAGTCGTCATCACGGTAGGGAACTCAAATAACACTGGGGGCTACTCAGTCCGAAAAGTCCAGGCAGCTGGCTACCGATCGGTCTCGTACAGACAAAGAACAACGGGTGAACTATCTATAGGTCGGCACTTTGGGCGTGAAGTTTGTTTCTAACCAACCGTCGACCTATTTAGACAATCCGTCTCCTGGTGAATAGTTAACTCATTTCATCCGACTCCCATGAAAGACTTGACAGTTGCGATGTTGAGGAATACGGATGTGCTGCTTGATTGTTGGTCTGTTCGCCGACCCATCGAATCGTGCACTGACGGTCTCATCTCGATTGCAGTCCAGCTATCAAGTTCAGCGAACAGACGAACCAACCACGTGTGTTTTGGGTTTCACCATATTTACATGGAAAAGGTGTGTTCGGTCCCGAAAGACCCATTGACACAAAGACCTCATAGTTGTTGGTATTTGCAGGATTTGTAGAATCCACACGCACATGACTCTCGCCTGAACAATCGTTCTCCTATCTTGTCACAATCAAAGACTTCTTTCCTCCCTGGAACTCACCAGGTGAGCTCGTAGAGGTTGGGCACGTGACCGTTCGGTAAGCGGTTTCGGGCTGTTTTGTACTTGCCTTTCGACATGCCCACATTACGCTCAACCATCAAACAAGACATTGCAAAGGTACTTGGGATCGTGTAATCCGGTCGGGAATTCTAACTAGGCTCAACTTCTCTGCACACCTAACAGATGGTTTTACTCCTTTCACTGGTTTGCTTGTGAACCCAGACCGAATAACCAATGTGTTTTCATAAACGAAACTACTCACAAGGTTGCTGAAAACTCCTCGACAGCCCACAACCGGTTTCGCCCTTCTGCTTTGGGCTCATCAGGTAGGCGCAGTCCCCGAGTTTCCGTCAACCTCATGTTCTACTTGAACCCAAATTAGACCGTTTTCGAGAATATCGTGCCAACTGAAACAGGAGACGGCCTGTGTGCAGCACATTCAGTTGTAGAATATCGTAAAAGAGAGATTCAGTTGAGTCTCTCGTGAAAACCAAATTGATTTGCAGATGAGTGTATTTGTCGAAAACCAGTTTGTTCGTTTCCAAGCAACATCCGGAATTATGCTAACAGTGTATCCAACCCTAGCTGAACGAGATTAGGATGAAATCCTATGTAACAAGAACTCAGACAGATTCTACGAATCTGTCCGTCGGTGTCAATTAATCGGGCACCACTTATCTGTCCTGTTCATTTGGACAAAAATGTCACTAATCTAGATGATTGTGTGTGTGTGTGTGTGTGTGTACATGCTCCGACGCATTATTTGACGCGTGTACTTTTCTGTAGGGCACTGGTTTGCTGTTTTATCGGCGCCTAGTTTTACACGTACCACTGGATTTGTGAATCTTTCGGCACAACTGATTTTTGGAGAGAAAAGTCTCCCGACTCACAGGAGATTTAGTGACTTTTCTGATTGATTTGGTTCGGCACTGCTGACTGACATCAGTTCGCGAATCACACTGTTGAGGTTCCCGATACGGAACTTTGAGTGATGCGTAGGTTCGACAGTCCGGAATATCAAAAAGGAAGAATTGGGTGTGAGATTCTACAGTAGGGTCTACACAATGGTGAGCAAATGTATAAAAGAAACCTCTCGTTCTTCGTGTCAACAAGTGCACAAGTCTGTTACCGACCGGCACAGTGCAGTGTCAACATCCGCACACCAAACAACGGGAGCGGGCTCAGTAGTTGTCGCTTCCAATGACGGCCTCGTGATTCTCGTTGGCGGCGCGATCTCACAGAACTCCTGAGCAAATGAGGCAAGGCAGGCTCAGCAAACGGGACACGAATGTGCATGGGTAAGTAGGCCAGATGCGCAAATCCCCACACAGCAGACATGCTAACACGGTGTCGGACGGATGGACTTTGCGGCAAGGTGAGTGGCGGGCACAAGGGGCAAAATGAGTGGAGATTAAAAGTACATAGGCGGAGTAAACAAATGAATGGGGGAATTATCCTAAAGTCAAGTGATATTCACTACACACACCATTACATATGAACACCATTCGGTTTGGCTGGTAAGTGCATTTGTAGTAATGGTGTGCGGCGGGCCAAGGTTACCAACTAGCTTTCGATGATTTATTGTTACAAACCCCACTCGCGGGAAAAAATACATCCCGTAAAACGACTTGAATACTATGCTTCTTGCATCACAAAACATTACACCTGTACTTATTGGTTGTTGACTAGGTGGCTTTTGGTTTGTTCGCCGAGCCTGGCGATTTCACCACATCACCTACACCTGTACTTGATTACCTTTTGAACGCACAGCCTACAGTATGATCCACTATTTCCCCATGTTTTCTTTACCAAGGGCGGATCGATGTATCCCAAATGGTACTTTGAAGTGATTGTTGATGCCCTGGAAACTGTAACCCATCAGCCTGCTCATCTTCGAGTTGGATGGGGTAACACTGAAGGTTACGACGCACAACCAGGCGGTGGTGCAGGTTGGGGTGCCGCGTGCCTTGGAGATGATCTGTTCAGTTATGCATTTGATGGACGATGCTTGTGGGCCGGCGGCAAACCCAAACAGGCTAGCATTGGGACCGAAGAGGCCTCCACCAACGAAGAACCATCAACCACCGGTCTCCCACTAAAGCGGGGGGACGTGATCGGATGCCTGTTGGATTTGACAGGACCTGTCATACAATTCAACGTAAACGGTCGTCTTGTCAGAGGCTACTTCCAGGTAACTTAACAGACCGCTTGTCTTACCCACCCTGCTCCTTTGACAACCAGTCAACCGAACTGATTTGCTTTATCATTATATTGCTTTCGCAGGATTTCAACACGACCGGTCTGTTCTACCCATGCATCAGCATGAATGCCAAAGCTAGCGCCAGATTCCTGCTTGGCAGTAATCAAGGCCGACTTCGGCACGGACCACCACCTGGCTATGCCCCCATATGCGATGCTCGCCAGCCTGGACAACGTCTCCGTCTTGAGCCGGTGTTCAGCTTCGGTCAACTTGAGAAGTCCGTGTACACTGGCCCACTAGCTTCTCCGACCCCTCAGCAGTCTGTGTTTGTTCCCCGAACTGTACGCACGAACCATGTGAGTTGTGTTTGTCGCATTCATGTACAATCCAGGGATAGGACCATCAAAGTGTACACACAGCTGTTCGTCCTGAAGCCGTTTTTGTGTCGTAGAAAAGGACATATGTGTGCAAAATCCAGGGATGGACCATCAAAGTTTACACACAGCTGTCCGTCCTGAAGCCGTTTTTGTGTCGTAGAAAAGGACATATGTGTGCAAACTGCACAGCTGATTTGCCGAATTAAGTCGACCCGTAGACTGGGTTGCACTCATCAGAAAGGAGAGTTTTCAGACAGAAATCCAACACGGTTGTCCGTTCGTTACTGAGTCTGTGTACAGTAAGACAAAGTATAACGCTAACAAGTGTGGTAGGTAGCAATGGAACGTCAACGTTAATTTTTATCGATTTTTGAACCTTGGATACTAATAATTGTGTCTACAGTCCAAACTCACTTATCTGGGCCCTCCGAACTGACTCGGAATCTACTGATTTGTGGAATTTGTACGCAGTAATTAGGTATAAAAAATGATTTCGTTTAAACAACAAGAAAAGACAAATGTGTTTAGACATACACATCCGAATCGTAACGTGTCAGAGTAGCCAAATACATGGCATTCCTCTACCTGCATCAAACTAGCTGACTACCACTATCTGGACTTCGATATGTCAACCGGCACATCAGTCATACGTAGCATCACCTGCTGTCACGTGTTAAAATGTCGTTAACCTCAAGGGAGTAAACGGAGAGTCTCGCGTTTACCGTTTATCAACGACCTTAGCCACTTAGAAGGCGTCCATACCGGATTCGAACCCGTGTCGTCGAAACGGAGGTCCGTGGTTCTATCCACTGACCCGTCCTGGATGAATGAGTTGGACTGGGGCGACCGTGTCATCTCTGGAGGCAGGAACTTGATGCTGGTCGTTGGCATCGAGCCAAGCACAATGTCTGAGGGTCTCGAAAATGCGTACATTTCAGCCAGCGATCCGTTCCTTCATTGTATGGCCCTCGAATTTCGAAATAAGGATAGGAGTAACAGTGGCGGAATTTGATGCTAATCTCTAAACAAACGTGCGCTGTACAACTCACATCGCGCTGTGCAGTCCGTTGCTGGTCACTAAGGTTTGGTTCTCCAAGCTCTGAAGGATAAACGGCTGTCAGTTGGAAGCAGTCAGCCAAATTCATGCAAATGTCCTTAAGAGGAACGGTTGCAATGTCCGTTGATCGGATGTAGAAGCTTTTAAGGTAGGTAACAGAACCTCTCTTGAGCAGTTTTCTGAAATTGAAGATGGAGTAACTGTCAATCTGAACATCCAACTCCGTATTGGTCTTCTGGACCGTTTTCCCCAACACAGATTCAACTTCCGAGTAATGTGGAGGTGTTTCGGGACAGGCTGGCTGAGAACCTACACGATATGTGGTCTATGCGCAAAATCGATCAAGGTTGGAAATATGGCGAGGTAAGTAAACAATCGATTTCGGTACTTTCACCTTCCGACAGGCTGTTTTCGCCCCATCGGTTTGCTGTGTTCTACTTGTGTGGTTAGGACGATCGCATCCACACTTTAGTTCTTAAACATTTGCTTCGGTTCTGTTCTCCAACTGAAACCTTCTCCCCCTTGTTTTCTAGCGTCGCGATGATCAACGCGGTCTTCACCCGTGCCTCACCACGTTCGCCAAGCTTCCTCCTCAGGATCGCCAGTACAATGTGACTTTGGCCTACGAAACGCTACGCACAATAGTCGGCCTTGGATATAACATCACTTATGAACCGCTACCGGAGGGGACTCGGATGAAGACCATCAAACTATCCAATAGGTAAGCCATCCGCCATCTCCAACACCTTCCCAGGAACACATGGAACGAGAGAGGACTTGAAGCAGCTACTGGACTAAGGAATCCCAATGTTGGGAGAACACTTGTGCACCATCCCTTCACAACGACTGAGTAGAAGCTATCCTTGCTGAACTTTCCACTCACTGGTGTCTGACAACGGAGAAGAACCGTTGGTATTTTTACTCCAAGATCACACAGACTGACAACATTTCATTTTTTTAAGAAAGAGGTCTAAAGAAAGGACATAAAACCCTGATTTTTCTGCTGAATTTGCCGAGGTTCTAAGGAAAACGAGAAACGTGAATGGATGTGGCAAAATGGGAGGGAATAACTACAAACTATTTAGAATTTCCGGTAAACCCATCGACTTACACATCCAAGGCTTGTCCGAAGTCACAACCGGAGAGTTCGTTGTACGCTGTCCGTTGGTGGTCAGCGAATAATGTGTCAGGTCGGTTGAAACAAAAAAAAAGCCGTTTCTGTCCCTCACTCTGACGGATAGACATCAGCCACGATAGGGCAATATGTAGGACTTCTGTTTCAGAAGCGACGTGAGTGCCAGGTCTCTTGAGGGGACATTTCGAGGGGAACACGGGGAGTGTGATTTGGAACGATCAACCATTGGCACCAGTGGTCCTGATTTCCTGTATGGTTCCTACACCCGTTCTTTTGTCTAAATCTACCAGATTACGTTGGTAGAGCGGCACGCCGAGTTGAAGGATATCATAGGCGAGAGATACTACTGAGTCTCCCGTGAAAATCAAATTGATATGCAAATGAGAGTATTTTACAAAATCCGTCCAGTTTTAGTTTAAGCAGAACACAAGGTTGACGGAAGCTCGGAGAATGCGCCTACCCGATGAGCCTTGAGAAGGGCGAAACCGGTCGTGGGTTGTCGAAGAGTTTCCAGCGACCTTCTAAGCAGCTTCCCTAATGAAAACACTGAACATTGTTTTTCTCTTAACTTTCCAGTTTTACACAAGCCAACGGTTACAAACCACAACCCTTGGACCTATCACAAATCCGTCTGTCAAAGCGCCTTGAGGCGTTGGTCGATCAGCTGGCCGAAAACACCCACAATATGTGGGCACGTGACCGAATCAGTTTGGGTTGGACATACGGGTTCACCGAAGTATGTCAAACGTTCGGAATTCGATCCTCTCATTGCCCACGAAGTTTTACTTATTTCCAGTTCTCAATGTCAGCTTCATGTGAACACATCTCAGCTGCGCAAAGTAGCATTGAGTAAAGTTCAGACATCTGCGACTTGATAGAAGTTACCGGTAGATACATACTGGAATACATTTTAAAGAATGGTATACATTTTCAATACCCGTGCTTCCCATCTTTAGCAGGTGATTTAGCTTGTTAATGCTCTAGTTCTGACGTAATTAAGTTGATTATCAGAAGGTAACAAGCACTAACAAATGTCTGTCTTACTAGAATGTGATGAATACAGCAGTTAGATGCACTTGATAAAAATAGATACAATGTGAAAAGTGGAATTAGCCAAAAAGTGACTTATAGTGACCTGTTGAGAGTTCCTGAGTGAAGTTCCGGACGCGGGACGTGTCTTCTCTGCAGTATAGCTGCTACGCGTGTTCCGTAGTTTGCCATGGAGACTCGCGGAGCTCTGTTGACTTCCTGTCCTGTGCGCGCGAGTGTGTGTGTGTTGAGCCTAGTTGTATGCCTATTTATTGTGTGCAGTGTGAAGAGAGGGGAGTGCCTCCGTGTTTGATGAACACGAATACAACTTGACCTGATGTGTTGAAGTTCATAAGCCTGATGCGTTACGCAAGTGGTAGCCGCGTAAACAAAAATTGGTGGGAATTTGTAGTGTACAAGTTGTCGGCTAAGGTTGCAAGTGGGACACGAATTGTCTGAGCGTTTTTGACGCGTGACCCCTACAGGTGCACCCCGAGTGAAATGCACACTGCCCCAGCAAAGATGAGGCAGTACTTCTCGGCCTCGCAGCATAAACCGACTTCGCTTCCTAATTAAATCCTCGAAAAGTCCTCACTAGCTGAGCATTATATATGTAACTGACTCAGATAAGAGCCAGTCATCAAAGCAACAAACTAGTTCAACTGCGCGTGATGCTATACTCTATCAATGTAGGTTATCCGCACCACTGGTTGCTATGGTATCGAACCACTAGTCGGGTAGTTCCGGTGCGAACCTACCTGGAGTTTCGTGCGATTCGCTCTGCCCATTGGCTCAAACAAGAATCAAACAGAGGGAGAGTGTTTCTCGGGTTTCTAGCCATGAATCAATTATGAGATGAGGTAAATAGACTGGGGTTCCAGCATCTACGAGCTCTTATGCCTGACGAGAAAGCGGCCCTGACTCAGCTGTGGAACCAGTTCTCTTTGGGTTCTCATTAGCCTTTTCTGGCGCATTCAGTTTCCTCAAAAGTCTCGTTCGCCGACAGTCCGCCGCATATATAAGTTTGTGGAGTACTTTTGTGAGAACGTTGGTGATTTTATAACCTTTTGGTTAGATGAAACTCATCAAAGTTTTGACCATCGATCACACCCTACCCCGAAACATTACCTGATTTAGCTACACTTGACCATACCCAGTCTTGACTACTTCATCAGACTTTGTTTGCGAGACCAGCTTTTGTGTTCTGGAACCAATCAGTATTCCTGCTCATTCTGCTCACACCCGGTTTCTCGCCTTTCCCAGGATCATGCTCAGAAACGCAGTCCTCACTTGGTACCATTCAGAGAAGTTGATCCGATCATTAAAAATTCTAACCGGTAAGTCCGTAGTAAGAACATACTGGTCACAGACACCGTCCTTCACGTTTTCACGTGTCTTCCCAATCCGAAGACGATATTCATCCGTGGAAACTGCTTGTGTCTTTTTGAAGTCGCTGTTTCGCGTCAGCAGGCCTACTGATTGTTACTCACCTCTTTGGGATATTTTTGTTGAAAATACAGGGATTATAGATTCACCTGTGAATATGAGACTTTGAGGTCCAATCGTCAGGTAATTCTGACTGTCCCACATTAGACAAGTGAAGTGCTGGTGTCTAGTGCTAGCTGGCCTGGTGGGGCGACTTCAGGAGCTTTTAGCTTGTCCGATTGCACTCTGGAGCTAGAGGAAGCGGCAAAACTCTTGTGTATCGCACTAGTACTTGACGACGTAAGGCTGCCAAGGTTGAAAAACAACTTCTTGCCCGGCAGTTGTCCCCGTAGGATTACTGTCTTCCTGGAAAACTGCTTCCCGACAATGACCCATTGCGAATCTTTCTGGTTTATGCGTTTAGAGCGTATTTGTTTTAGCGACGGTCGAACTGAACTTCTCAGAAGATAATCAACTGTACGGAATAACATTTCGCATCGGACATTTTAGTGTGATAGACCGGACTTGTGTGAAGGATTGACCTCTTTTTCGTTTACATCAAGGGAGCTCCATCAAGGCGGACTACTCTCTCGCCTAGTCAGAAATGAAAAACCCGGATAATGCCCCCCCCCCCCGGACTGATTAATGTGATAGCATTTCTGGCGTTCGAGTGATTTCATCAACTTCTACCGTGAACAAAAGTTCTGAAAGTCGGTCACCGGTCACGCGGTGCTGTTGTTCCCAATGTGAAATCGCGTGCTGCACAGAGTGGATACCAAGACTAGTGTCGTTCTCACCGAATTTCAAAAGAGCAACCTGAGTGACACCGTACAGTAACGGGGTTAGATTCACATCACCTTGGGTCCTTGTAGTCATTGTATACCCTAGTTTCATGTATCCTCTAAAAGTGGCACGCAAAGAAAAGTTCCCATTGCATTCCCATTTAATTTCAGCGAAACAGCTATCGAGACGGTCAAAACACTGCTAGCCTACGGTTATTCATTAACTCAGACCAGCTCGGACTCTTCTGATGCCGGTAAGTGTCGTCACCTTTCCCACATCAGCGAGGTTCCTTTCTGGCGAATTTGTGCAATAAATTTGTGTCGACCAATTCAAATCGGGTTGTTCTCAAATACTGAGAGACTATTTGCGCATTTTCCAGTCTTTTTCTATCTCAGTAATTAATTTTGTTTAGTCTTCCATTGTCGATAATGCCTAGCTAATGACGTATAAATCATTGATTTATGAACCAATAAAGGCCATTCAAAAAGCTAACACCTTATGTGACTGACCTACATCAACCAATCCCTGGATAGGATCGGTAACTGTTGAGCACGCCTGGCGCAAAGTGAACACTCAAAAGTGTGCCTAAACCTGAGAAGTCTCGGGTATGAGCACACAGTCACATGTCCAGAACCTCCGGATTTGTGTGATTTTTACCTTTGTGGTCGTAAAAACCGATCGTGCCTGTCGGTTTAAGATATTTTAACTGAATTGGGACGTGGTCGTGGCTGAATGAGGCAATCTTTGGCAATCAAGCTTATCGGAGCCAATAGTTTGTGCTCACTATATGCGCATGTCTAAGACAGAAGTCGAAAGTGTGCCCAGCCTTCACTTATAGAAAGACTAAATTTAGGTTAATTCTGGGGACGAATTACACGATACCACAAGGTTTCTGTCCGTATGCAGACGTGATTACAATGGTATTCATTTTTGGGATTACTCCATCTTACTGGAAAGACTTAATGAAAAAGTTAAACGAGGACAGGGTACTGGGGCACTGGTAAGCTTGTGAATCCTCTCAGCATGCCACCATAGTCTAGAGTAGAAGACTGCAAGATGAATGGATTGCATCTTCATATGACGCATTATCATGGCAAGCTGACAGATCAGTGGGTTTGATTCAGTCAAAAACAGTGGAGTACACTAATCCTGAAATACAAGCTTTACCCACATATATGTATTATGCCCATATTCCAGACCTGAGGCGATCTTGTGGCACATTTGTTCACCATTTGTTCGCCACTATAGTACGCCAGCTTTGGGAAGTTACCACTTTTAGTTTGTCCCTTTCAATGTATTTCAACGATGAACCGGCTCCCATAAGTGTAATTTTAATCAATCTCTTGAGGTGCCCTCTCACACAGGGATAGTTTTAATGAGCCAGCCAGTTCATGAGCCAGGTACATGATCAGTCCATCTCTACAAGGCCTGATACTTCCGGCAGGCACCTAGAGACCAGCCGGTACCCCGTCCAATATGATTGCGTTCACTTGAACGGTCCCCCGATGACTGACCGAAATGCCACCTCACACAGTCGGTTTCTGTGTTTCAAAACCACACTACTCACCACGATTCTAGTAGACAATAGTCATTGCTGTAAAAGTGCATCCTGTCGTTCGATTTGTGCATCGTTTACTTAGCCCGTGGTAACAGTGCCTCGGAATACTCGGGGCCTACAAGGACGTACCGGGGTCAGGCCAGTCGAGCAGTCACTCGTGGCAAGTGGTAAGTTCAACAGCCGAATGCAAGCATGTCAAGCATGCCCAGGGAGAAGCACGCTAGAGCATTGCATATGCTGGAACAGATGTCTACATATGGTGAATTTCTGATCCCCAACGTATCGTTTGAATTTCTTTCACCTCAGGTACTACGAGATAGAAGTGCTGACGTCTGGTTTTATTCGTATTGGCTGGGCAAAAAAGAACGCACCACCGGACGCCATTGTTGGTTCGACCAGCAATTCCTATGCATTCGCAGCACACCAAGTACGTGACTCCCGTAAGAGCGCTTCGCCATAGATATTTACGCACCTTTCAATGCCTCATTAGTTACAGCTCTCATGGTTCTGTGTTAAACACTGCTTGACACCCGTCCTATTTCAACACGTTGAGCCGTCTGCTCGTTTTTTTGGATCGATTACTCTTTATTGTCATCCACTCCAGGCACGCAAATGGCACCGGGTAGGAACAACCTACGGGAATGTTTGCCAACCCGGAGACGTCGTTGGCTGCATGCTAGATTTGATAGACAAGACAATAAGTAAGTAATATGGTATGTGAATGGATCTTTTTGTTTTCGACACCGTGATAATGTTTTTTTGTTTGCAAGACATTGGAATAATGAAATCTCGCCCAACACTTCCTGCTCTCAAACACTCACCCTATGCACTTCAGATGAGTTGAGGGTGATTATGGTTGACTAACATCACACAGACACTTCATTCTGTCCTAAAACGAGTCCGATGAGGCCGCTCGACAACCTGAAGGACCATGTCCAGAGTTCGATCACTCTGCCTCGATTTCAGTTGCGATTGTGGCCATACCGGGAGAAGCGATCGACGCCTACCACAAACAATCCCGAAACATGTTCCAACTCGATGGCTACGGGCCCCGCAAAACGACGAGTGAACAATACCAACGGTCAGAGTGAACTCGAGGTCATCTCTGAGAAAGGACTGTGTTAATATTTTTCTTATAATGCTGATCAAGCAAGACTGATACTGAAGCGGTGCTTGTAAGAACGAGGGAAATCCAAACTGTCCGCATAAAAACTGTCGTTTCAACGTGGTCTCCTAACCTGGAATTCTAACCGATCCACTCCGTCTTTCAAAGCAATTTTCCCTTTTCAATATCTTCAACTCATGATTAAATCTGGGATGTTTTAGGCCCGCGACCAGTTATATGAAATGTCCAAACCTGCCTCCCGGCGGTTCTATTGGAACCGATAGCATCCAACGACGCCCTGACGATATATATTCGATTAGCGACGAAACCTATGCAAGCTAGTGTCCAAGCTTTGCAAAGAGATGAACTGCCATCTGATCAACAACCAGTAAAATCTGCCGAGCCACCAATATTCCGACAGTCACACGCTCACTGACAGATTGAGTTGGTGTTAACGGAGGACTCAAAAAAGACGTGGGCTGTCGAAAAGTTTCCATGATTCTCATTGGTCGTGTTGTGTAAGGGAATTGACAGGATAGTGATATGACAGAACTGTACAATCATTGGCTGTGCTCAACTAGAAACGGACTAGCCAATTGGAAAACGTGTCTGCTTGGTCGGTCCGCACATCTGATCGATACGCACCGGCAGCGTGGATGAAGTCCACCAACAACGTGGCTGAACAAATGAACCCAGTTTTGACGCTTCAAATGCACTGAAGACCATAGAGTTTACCAGTCAGTACAGATGGTGTGATGGCTGTAAATATTCACTGTTATATTAATGGGAACCGTGCATTAAAGAGCTAGGTTCTGAGAGTAAAAAGTCTACCTGTTTGACTGCGTCATGTCCATCGGTGTTCCTGGCCGTTGATATGTCCACTCTGGCATCCCGAATAGTGATCGGGCGAACCGCAGATGCGACCGAGTGTGTTGGTAAGGTTTCCACTTTCCGTTGCCGGAGTGGTTTCTTGGACAGTACTCATTGGCCTACGATAGATTTTGGTATCAGGGTATTCCGTAGACTGAAATAGAAAAAAGATAACCGATGTTGTTGGCCTCATAAAAAACGGCTTCCCTACTCCGTGCATATTAGGCAATACTCCAGAGCTCACTGTTCTCGACTTTCAAGACAAACTGATTGATTATTCAATACATGTTGGCCTGTATGTTCATCTAGATTACTCTCCTTCTCTCTGACAGCCTTCTCTCTCAATGGAGAACTCATGATGGATCCCCTGGGTCTTGAAACTGCTTTCAAACACATCAAAGTGGACGAAGGTACTGTTTTAGCCTGAACTCGATTGCTGGTTCGTTTTTTGCCTGTTTGATTAAGGCGGTAAATAGTTCCGGCCAGCTTGCAATTACTACTAAGCTGCCCAACATTTGCTGAGTCACAAAAACTGAAGCTTGAGGATGTAAACCGGATCAGCATAACAGGATTACCGACGTTTCCTCAGCTCTAAGCGCTTGGCGACTAAGCTTACGCCCATGTAGTAGTGGTACTTGACGTACGACGTATGTATCTCGTCGCCTTACTAGGAATCATATGAGGACTTTCAAGAACGACAAGGCATTGAACGTAATTCGAATACACTGCTCATAAGGTTGTCGACCGAGTGAGTCTCCTGTCAAAACCAAATTGGTATTCAAATGAGTGCATTAGTCGAGTTTCTCTGATGAGATTCAGACATTGAGCTCTGTCTTGGAAGGTGAACTAGAACGGGAAAGTGCGAACTGCACTGCCACATTCTGTTGACCGCCAACTCCCAACTTCACCACCATTCCTCTCCTCCGTGCAGGTTACGTCCCTGCGTTCTCTCTGGGCTCCGGACAACAAGTGAAAGTGAACTACGGCAACGATGTGCAAACCTTGAAGTTTTTCACCTACTGCGGTCTACAAGAAGGCTACAAACCGCTTTGTGTGTAAGTTTTATCGACTTGTAAAGCTCGGTAATACGGTAAGAGAGGATTTTGCTAAAAAGCGTTTGAAATTCTCAGCTGAAAGTTTTCGTGTATTGATCGTTTGACCTACAGGCTGGCTGAAACAGTTACTCAGAATGCGCGAAAATTCAGGTTCATGTTGCCTGAAATCCTCATCTCCATTTCTGGATTTCCGATTTCACAATAGGTACTTCACATTTCGCCAGTTCAATGTATTGACTGGTGATGTACACATGACGTGTACAGTATATGTATTCATACCTACACATACTCTCTAACATGATCGGAGGTGAAAGCGCATATGTCACGTCTACGCTATCATTCCCCCTCTATGGTTCTGCCCGTGCATTTCCCGAAATTGTCTGAGGGGATGCGTGGCTATTTCGGAAGGAACACGGCTGCGAGCACTTGCGTGCGCGATGTCCGAAGGCGCTATGGTACCAGCAGTGACCATTTCCTGTAGAGGGTGAATGTGGTCCAGAATGCGAGCGTGGACACGACAACGCACGGCGAAACTGGTAGGGTCGAGACAAAAACTGGTGTATCTACAGAAGAACTACTAGGAGAGAACGGTTGAATTTCCAGTATCTTATCTGCTATGCTGGCAAGTCCAGAGAGGGGAACACCTTCGGAACTGCAAGCGAGAATTGATTGTACGTGAGTCGGTAAACGTTTCAGAAAAAGCTGATTGAACGAAGCTTCATCAATTTTGCGGTCCCCTGTGATGCTCTAAAGTCGTCGCAATTGTTGAGATGGGGTAGAGCCATCGAGAGATTCTCCGCTAAGTAGTTGTTCCAGTCGTTTATGTTCGGATAAACTACAGCGTTTAATGATGGCAGCACGTAATTGCGTATAAGGCTTGGTGGGGTCCGTTAATATGTCGCGTAAATCGACTGCGATTTCGGGAGTGAGTACTGCAAACACATGGTACTACATTGTATACTCTTGCGTGATTTCGCGAAGGGCAAACTGAGCTTGAACTTGTGTGAACCAGATACATGGGTCGTGGTGCCAGAATGGTGGAAAATGAACAGAGGCGGTGTTGGGTGTTGGTTTGATTAAAGATGAGGGAATATATTGTACTAGAGGAACTGACATGGTATAGGGGTCACGTCGGGCTCACCAATTGTTAGAGCTCTAATTGTGATGTAATTAAGTTGATTATCAGGAGGTAGCAAGCTCTAACAAATGTCTGTCTTACTAGAGTGTGATGAATACAATAGTTAGGTGCAGTTGATAAAAATAGACACAATGCGAAAAGTGGAATAGGTCAAAAAGTGACTAATCGTTTGGGGACACTTGTTGAGAGTTACTGAGTGAAGTTCCGGACGCGGGACGTGTCTTCTCTGCAGTATAGCTACTACACGTGTTAGTGTGATATTCCGGTTGTCAAGGCCTCACGAACATGCGCACGACGCACCTGCGCTTTCCAAGTGCACCATCGCATCAGGGGCGGTGATTCCATTTTAACCTCGGCAAACGGGTTACCCTGTCATCCTGTAACTCGGCTACGCCAAATCGCGGGTGCTACTTAATCGCAGGAATCAAGGTACAGTGCTGAACGTCGGGGGTGAACACACACAGACGACGTGAGCTGCGTCCAAAGGTGTGCCGGCTTCGCAATGAGCGCGGACTGACAGGCTGATTGACGTTGAAACCAACCAACCAATCAATCCACGGTGCTTCACGCAGGGCGCGACAGCGGACAGTTAGCTGTCGACACAGACCCGGAAGAAAGTAGGTCTTCTTTTTTATTTGCAGTACATCAGAAGGGGCAGTTCGGTTGAGTGCGGTTTTGCGGTAGACCGTCAACTGGGCCGTAACATACCTTAGCAAATACCGTGTGTACTTTTCGACAGAGTACTTCAGCTTCTATCCAAGTACGTTATTACGGTTCACTAATGCGAGAAGTCCTCAAGAAGAAGCACGGATGCTTGGGGATAAATAGCCGCACATCAAAGTCACAATCGATTTAGTAGTGTTGCCGTGACGGTTATTTTTGCTTAGCGTATGAGTACCACTGTTTTCATAACTCGATGGGTCGAGTATTCGCATTGGCCAATTTATAAAAAAACTCCGATAGTCAGTATCACTGCTGATACGGCAGCGCAACTTCGATAGCTACGCTTCAGCATGACGGTACGCTTCGACTGGTCTGTCTGCCCCAACTTTATGCAGCGTGATAACTGGGCTTATTTCGATACACCATCGGAGATGTTTGATGGAAGTATTGATTGAATTAAAACCGTTTCGTTTTTTTTGTTTGGACCAGCTTAAGTATGATTCAGTTTTTCTTTTTATTTAGTGTGATTCATCCCCGGGGGAAAGCAAATTGAGGTTTAGATACTTGAGACGAGTGCTTCAGACATTTGCTTTTCCCTGAAAAAGAGACATTGCAGATACCCTGTTGATCACGTGTCACAAATGGCATGTCTCTTCCTTTCAGTAACATGTGTCGGCCAATGCCAATGTGGTACGTCCGCGACGATGCATCTCTGTTTGTGGACGTGGATAAACAACATCCGTTTCTGCAAATCTCGCTGTCCACGGGAAGGTAAGTAAGTGTGAACGCTGTCTGTGTCACGTGACTGTTTTCGGGGAGCCCGATTGGTCGACTTGGGTCAAGAGGTTGGGGGGGTATTAAGCGCTGCAGTATCGGTTGGGATAGTGAAGTTTTACTGCTGAAAAGTCACCAAAATGTCGACATTAATCTAAAGGCTTCACTCTGGTTGTGACGTTTTCAAGGCAAGCTGGCTGCTGTGACATTTACGACAAACACTCAACAACTGTTGTGTTAAATTTTTTTCCCACCTTATTCATGCCCACCCTTAGCTTCACTCTGGTTGTGACGTTTTCAATGCAAGCTGGCTGCTGTGACATTCACGACAAACACTCAGCAACAGTTGGGTTAAATTTTTTCCCACCTTATTCATGCCCACCCTTGTTCTCTCCGACACAGCACCCCAGGCTTCAAAGTTATCGGGAAACAAGCCGACCACAGCGCATCTGATGAAACGCTTTATCTGCGCCTCAGTCTCGGTACCCGCTGCAAAGATACCTTTACCAGCAAGTAAGTATTTTGCGGGAGACTTACATATTTCAACTCTGTAGTATTCCCGAGTTCTTCCATTTTGTCTTATTCTAGGATTACTGTATACCGAAAATCAAGAGCAAATTTATGTAAATACGGAACACAAGTGCACCTGAGGTTAACGGAACGCACGTGGCAACTTTGACGGTCACAGGCCTTCAGGCATTGCATCTTGGGGCAAACCAAAGGTTCGCTTGGGATTATCCACAGTCACGCTCTTGTGTCTTGATCAGCGATCGCAAACCGATTGGTCTTCACTGGTTCACAGAGAGAGTCACCTGATGACAGGTCGAGTTCATCGCAGTATAGTTTGACCGGCATGCTTAGCTATCGAGGGTCGTTATGCGGAAACAGTATCAGAGTAGGTGCAACTAAGTAGCTTTCTTTCCGAGCCACATCGCTACCGACCGCTGAAACGGCTGCTATGTCTAACAAGTCGATCGAGGAGAAAAGCGATGTTTTCGCGGGGCGATCCAGAGAAACTCCATAATATCCTCACACTAGAGTGTGTGTTTCTTTTCTCTATCTTTTTTCTATCTGTCCTTTCCGATTATTTTTCAGTTACTGCCTTTGAAGGGAAGATCACTTTCCTGGAGGTTCACGACACACGCTCAGTCCGCTGCGAAAGTCACCGAGTTCATCTATAGTTTGACCGGCATGCTTAGCTACCGAGGGTCGTTATGCGGAAACAGTATCAGAGTAGGTGCAACTAAGTAGCTTTCTTTCCGAGCCACATCGCTACCGACCGCTGAAACGGCTGCTATGTCTAACAAGTCGATCGAGGAGAAAAGCGATGTTTTCGCGGGGCGATCCAGAGAAACTCCATAATATCCTCACATTGGAGTGTGTTTCTTTTCTCTATCTTTTTTCTATCTGTCCTTTCCGATTATTTTTCAGTTACTGCCTTTGAAGGGAAGATCACTTTCCTGGAGGTTCACGACACACGCTCAGTCCGCTGCGAAAGTCACTGGGGGGATCCACTCGAGGCCCATTTCACGAATTCTCGTAGCCACCAACACTCATTAATAAGTGACGGTTTTCACAGTTTGGAGCCTAAGTTCTTCCAACTGAGACAAGCTTCAACTCGGTTTGAAATTTCAACTGATACGTCACATATTCAACTGGAAGACCACCTCATCATGTTAGATTGTTAGGGACGTTTCAGAGAGTAGCAGTTGGAGATTTGTGGTACAAGTGAAGATCAACTATTCACCCATAGACTGTTTCTTGCTATGCTCCAAACCGGAAAGCACCAGCAGCACCTATGATAATCTATCGTTTCACACCAGAGCATATTCGCTTCGTTAGAAGGTTTCTTAGCGCCCCGTTCCATATCCACCTCGGTCTTATTGCCCCTCGCCTATGTGTCTCCTTCACCAGACCGCTGAAGGAGCGTCACGCGTATCTGGATTCGTTGCGACGCCACTTGGAACCTGAACTCGCCACTGTTGGACAGATGGGAATGCACGCAGATATGACTAATCTGACAATGATGGGTGGTGTGAGTTACTGCCTAATCTGTTGTCTATTTGTGTAGAATCAACTCGTTTGTTTTGGGTTATTTACTCCCATGCTAATCGCACAAATATCCGTTTTCCTATTTTAGAATATGACTTCCTCGACACTGGAAATGCGGGACCGTCGTGCTAAAAAGACTCGGCTGGGGAATATGTTCAAGAAAGGAAAGTCACGTGAACCCAGTCCGGATGTGGGCTCCACCGTCGGTAGTGGAGGTAAGCGCTCGGAGAATGTGTGAAATGATCCACAGGGTCATGAAAGCATATACTAGCCTTCTGTCTGTCACGAACCGTTATTGACTCGGTGGCTTCCACTAGTCGAGTCCGAATAAGGCCAGTCTTCAACCTGATGGCTTCCAGATCTTCAGAATGTCACTATTCAATTCCCGAGGTCTTGGCTCGGTCGCACTCGCTTCCACTGCCTCGCATCGCACGCACCCAGTCCAAGCCACAATGAACCGATCGCCGTATAGTGATTAGATTACACCGCCCGATTCGACAGGCATCTGTTTACCTCTAACACAGTCCCCACATCAATCTGATGAGTAGGCGCGCAGCCCGATATTTCCACGTATTTACGCTATGTACCTTGCATTACTGAGGTGGCCAATTTAGAAATAGAGGGGAATATCATAAAAGGGTGATTTTTCGTGTACTGAATCCAATGTAGATGGTTGTACATTTAAGGAAAGTGAGTCCACCCTCTACTGGAAACAAGTGCACTGGCCAATGCGTTCCAAAATCGGTCGCGTCAGCTAGCCAACAAGACGGCTCAATGCCCATAGTGTCCATGCCCGAAAAAAAGACTTCAATCACTCGATAAGCCAATCACCCCCAAACAGAATTTGTGACAGGAGAGAGGACTTGCTGAAGGGCTGGTTCTCTCGGGTTTCGCTTCCCAGACTAGGCGTAGCGGATCGGCACGCCACCTAGTCAAATCAGGGTGTAGTTAGTGCTAGCAGCTTCATACACCAGTTGGTTACCAACTACTGGTGAGCGAGATTGTTCGGCCCACCACCCCGGATGAAAGGCGAAGTCCACTCCACCAGTCTACTGGGTTGGGCTGGTGCCACGGTGAAGGATGCATACCCTGCGAGACATCCCCATTCTGAGGCAAACGAACTGGTGGCGCTCCAACTGAGCGATGCAGCTTGTGAGACTGCTACCGACGAGCTATCAGAACAACTCGTGATGATAACCGCATCTAAATCTACAGGCATTCCGTTTGAATTGTAGGTGATTGTTGCAGTCCAAACAGTATGAAATCATCCATATGCGTCTAGGGCGTAGCATGTTAAAGAAAAACGTGAGATCATTAGCTTGACGTTAAATGCACCTGGCCGATTTGTCCTCCTCATGTAGTTAATGTGTTACTCCTTCCCGTGAAATGGCTGATGAACAGAGGAGAATGTCGTGTGATTGAGGAGCCGGACATGAAGAACGTCGCCCCTCAGAAGTACCCGCTTTGGACTAACACCCTGAGAATTCAGCTAATTTTCAGGATCATAGAGAAATCAACCCGCAGCTCGGACCACGGACCGTATTTCGAAGTGAATCTCTGCCAAATTGCACCGCAGAAGAGGTTAGACAGGTAACCAAGACTCCCGTATTTCGAAGAGAATCTCTGCCAAATAGCACCGCAGAAGAGGTTAGACATATTAGCAGCTCGCCTGTTTGACAGGTAACCAAGACGAAGTAGCCAATGGCTGACTACCATAGTTCCAAGAAAAAGGATTTGGACATCACCTGCTGTACACCAGTTAGAGGGCATTTTGTTGCTTGATCCGAGTGGCAAATAGTATCTAGATCTCCCTTCTGAGATGGTCGTAACATGTACTGATAGCCAAGTTGCTCCGTCTTGGTTGTGAAATGATGACTACCTGGCTTCCGCTGGATTAAATTTCGACTCAAATCTGTTTTAAAGTTTGGTCCGTGGTTCGAACCAAGGATTGATCTGCCTAAGATCCTGGAAATCGATTCAATACTCAAAGTGCCAATCTAAATAGGGTACTTGTGATGGGTGATGTTCTTGAAGGCGCACCCACACTAGGGATGCCTCCCATGTCTCGCCTGTTCCCATGCCTCTTACACATACACCCATTATCCCCTATGTTCTCCAACAATTTCACAAGTTTGAGCAGAACATAGCAATAACGAAAAGAACTAACAGACCACTTGCAGTTAATGTGAAGTTCATGGTCTCACGTTTTTGTTCCATACCCCCCTCCCCCAGATCTATTTGACTGCTTTATTTCTATGTGAACTGCAGTAATAGGCTTTCGGATGTTCTGCAAGTACAACTACGATTCGAACGGAATACCTTTGGATGCGATTATCATTGCATTTCGGAAACGACGGCATCACAAACCTGATTGATTGGAGCTGAGCCATCTGCTGTTCGTTCTCCTCAGAAGGCCTGTTGCTAGCCGAATCCGTTTGCATTTCCTCCTGTTTTCTTGTAACATGCACCTTTCCGCTTGGACAGAACCTCATGCGTTGTACTTACTGCCAGCCTGGCTCAGAAAAGCATTCATCTGTGGCACGCGCAGGCGCTGTGACTAGGTAGGGGTAGGCCAGCACAAGAAACAACCCCCCTGGTGTGTTTTCTCAGCCTGAAAGCCAACTTATTCCACAACCCCCCGGTGTGTTTTCTCAGCCTGAAAGCCAACTTATTCCACGTTTTTCTTTTCAATTTAGGAGTCAGAAGCTCAGGCTACCCGCACAAAGCTGTTGCCACCGCTACAGGTCACCATCGTTTTTGTCTTTCAGACAGTGAGGGGACGCGAAAATTCTGTGACAAGTCTACTTATCGGGAAATTCTGCATGGTTGGGGCGGGTTACTGAATATATAGGGTCTGTGAAAATGTCAGGTGTCCGGAGCTCAAACCCAGGAACCGTCAAAGCCATACAATGCCGATCAATTCTGACAAATGCGAAACTGGAATATTTTGTGTGTGCTCATCCGAATAACTGTGCAAGATCAGGCGAAGACTTGGAGTGACTTAGATGTGAACACAGGCGTCGCCCCGTTAATTTTAGCTATTTTATCGCCCCCACTGAAAAAGGCCTCCGTCTAGTCGGGAAAACTTCGGATTCACTTTTTTCTCGAGAGGAAAACAATACTCGCAGTTTGTAAAGAGGAATTTGCTTTGTCTATGCAGTTCACCGCTCCACCGAGGGTTTCTTCGCGTCTTACCAGGCTACTCACCCTTCTTATAATTCTGTCACACAAAACTGTTGCCTAATCACGAGTCACATGTTTTCTGGGTTGTTCGCAAAACTCTGGATCAGGAAACAATTACACTAGATATATCGTTCGTCTGCAAGCGAGGTTGTAGGGATCTTTTCACATCGTCCATCAGTTTACACGCTGCGGTTGACCGAGAGACTTGCTTGGATTAGAGCAAGACTGACCGGAAGAGGATTCTTTATCGGTCTGCTTAGATGGTCAGTGAGATTCCTTCTGATTTCGATTCCACAGCATGGTTCTGGAGTATCATCCTAAAGTGTGAACTTGAAACGTGCATCGTCTGTTTTCTGTCTGCTACGGTAAGGGGCACCATATCGAGTCGCGGTTCTCAATGTAGCCATCCGTTTCAGTAGTGTGTAATCTGCTGTTACAATCCAGTGTGCTATCAGGCGAGCTTGTCGATATGCAGAGTCATTTCGGGGACGAATGGCCAGGCGATATAACCCATTGTCGTCCGATTCATCCGAAGGTGTTCGATTCTACACAATAAGTAAACGTAACGGAATAAATATGATTGGCGCCTATCGCAGGGTTTGAAGGAAAATGCCCCCCCCTCCCCAACTACTTCGGTGTCTGGTTACCACACCATACTGTTAACGCTTAAATTTGTTCGCTGTACTGCTTATTCCAATACAGTTTTGTGTGTGAAGACTAAACTCTGGCGTTGCTAAACTCTCTGTTGTTCCAGCTGGTGTGTCAGCCATCAGCGCCGGTGGCAGTGGTCTTGTTCAGACAGGAGGAAAACGTACAGCCCAGCCACAGGTCGGAATGATAGCTCAAGCAGGTGGCCAGGGCAGTGCCGGTTCGGGTAGCCTGGTCTCAGGAACAGCAGGAACGTTCTCTGGCAGCCTGACCGGTGGAAGTACGCAAGGATTTCAGCAATTTCAGCCATCTGCACTTCAACAAACTATGGTTCAGGAGACTGCGATGCCACTACACACGGCACAGATGCACACTCCGCAAATAATGGTGCCAAGCCAAGCAGGTGTTGGACCTGCCACCTTTGGTGTCCCGTCTCTTCTAGATGATCTGGACATGCTTGTAGTGAGTCCTGTTTAGATGGGTTGTTAGCTGCCTTACAACATGTTTAAAAGTCACATGGAGTCGGCATTCAATGATTCGTCTATCCGGTGCTCCGGACCGCTTACCACATTCTTATTGAGTCACCGTCATTTGGAACCTGTTTGTGTGTCTTTTGCTGTTCACTTCTTGTAAGACATATTCGTGATTTCAAGCGCTAGGTTATTCGTTTTATAATGCTTCGCGTTTGTGACCTTGAAAATGTCATGCGTGGCTACAGGATCGAATTAGAAAGCCATTACATCGGGGAGGTGTTAGAACTGCAATATCGTGTAGCTATAAAATACCGTGATTTCTCCATATCAGTAATTTTCAGCTGGAGGGACTTTTTCCCAAGGGGAGTTTATGTGGAAGCCACCTTTTTGCACTCTGCTTTCGAACCGTCTGACGGACGACCCTATCAACTCTATTTTCGTTCACTAGAAGCACACACAAGAAATGTCTCGGCGCTACCAGAAATTCGCCACTCAGAAATACTCGTTTGCGTGTCTTCGCTTTATTTGTCGCAGGATTGCACACTATGTGGGGGACTCGAAAATATTTTTTTCAAACCCCAGAGCATATGGGGTCGAAGATTCATTGAGCGAAGCGCTGGAAAGGCGTCAGCGCTTTCCTGTTCGCCATCTTGTCACCACCTCACATCAGATAGGTAAACCGACGACGCACATGGGTAAACATGGGTCACGTGATCTCACGCATCCAAACCTGTCTTGAAATTAAGTTAGGGTGGCCTGGCAGGTCTCCAGTGTAGCCCAACCTGATTCCGTTGCAGCCTGTCAGTCTGTCCGGCCGACAGAATTCATGTCCGTTCTAGCACAGGTTGTGCAGTCCGTGAGACTCAGGTCGCTCTCGTGAAGTTCGCCGTAACTAAGTGCTCACTGCCTATCACATTCTGCTGTTCTGTGCTCTTTATGGAATTGTTATGGGAGTAGTTGAGTCTCATTTTAACCATTGTTACACTGTGTGGATCTAAGTAGGGTGAGTCTCGTGGATTACAAGCGGTAGAAAGATTTCTTACTCAGTCTTTTTTACCCGTCGAAGTGGGAAGGAGCGCTGTCTGCTTTCAGCATGCATCGTGTCCTCTCAGGAAGGTCGCTTCTCCTAGACCCAGCCCTAAAAAAACCACTACCGATAGAATTTTCCATCGCCCTTATGAGTGATGTCACAAAAACAAGATTGCCACGAGACTGCTTCGAAGGTCGTTCTGAGTGAAACTTGAGACAGCTCTTTGTGCAGCATATTCAGTTGAAGAATATCCACAAACGACAGATTTCGAGTAACTCCCGCATAAACACGAAATCGATTTGCAAATGGCAACGTGCTTACACTTTGGTATCCAAGTGCCAAATAAGGTTTATGGATATTTGAGGACTAGGCTTGCTTGATGAGCCCCAAGGGAGACGCAACTGGTCGTGGGCTGTTCAGGGTTTCTATCGAACTCTTGAGTAATGTCATGCGAAAGGTGGAATTTATTTCTTATTGGGTTTGATTTCTATCCTGAATTACATTTGTGAATCACCAGTAAACTATTGGCTATGAACAGCTATTTCTACTTAGAACTGATGTAACTTTGTTTTCTAGGGCGAAGCAACTATTGTTGTATGGAAAGAGGCCACTAGCTCACATGTGTTCACCATACTACTTATGAGTAGCTTTCGCATTAATCAGAACATCTATTTCGGTGCAAAAAACCATTTTGGGGAAATGATATTCTCAACATATTGTGAGAATGGTTTCGTACAAAGTAGATTGAGAACCACCGTTTGGTACTGTTATATTTGCTGATTCGCCAATCTGTTGTATCTGACTGTTGCCCGTTCCAGTGCCTAGTATCGGAGAAAATACTCACAAGAGGGAACACAACAGCTATATTCCGAACAAACGAGTGCGAGAGCGAGAGTGTGTGCAAGTGCAAAAATATAGCGGTTTCGAGCTATTTATTGGAGGGGCACTGTCTGGATTTGGTCCAATGCTGACGCACGCGGTCTGGCTTTGGTACGAGGCTGTGACGCGCTGCATATTGAGGGGGCGTTGTCTACGCGCACTAATGATTGGGGGCGGGATGTCTCAGCGGATTTCCTGACCGGAAGGTCCGTGGTTCGAACCCGACTTCTGCATCTCGACTTTCCTTCTCTAGGCATGGACAACCTGGCAGTATCCAAGCCCTCATTCCTTCGGGTAGCATGGCATCTAGGCACCGAAAGGGTGCTACAACTGAACCATTGCATCCTATCTTGGACTGATGATATCTCCTTGTTTGCAAGTCAGTCGCCAAGCATGGCGCACAGACTATTAGTCACCTGACCATCAACCCATAAACGTACCCGATCTAGCAATATCTTTGTTATTATGAGAACCAGTGGTTGGACCACTTCAACGAATGGGGGATACGTAAACTGTATCACTGATTGCAACCAAATGAGTGAACACAAACTCTTTAGGAGTACACATTTACCGTACCACCGAAGAATGCTAGCTTCAGTAAAACAGCGTTTTAAAACGCAAACCAGAATCCTCTGCTGATAACTTGTTTCACATTTCACAGCCTCTCTCTCACTGGGAGAAAGTTCGATACAAATATCTCCTTTATACTGTTTTGTTCTAAAAATCACCAAAGATTCTAGCATAGGTCTTTGGTTTCGTCCACCCTATCGCACCAATCTGTTGTTGTTGGCCTAATCTCCCTTCAGCCTGATGCTAGTGGTCACATGAGCCCCATCGCCAATCTGATTGACGAGTTTTGCTTCACTGTCTTGGTTCTGCCTGGTCAAGATCCTGGGCTGGTTCATATTGGTTGGGTGACCAACTACTTCAAACTGGCCAAACCTCCAGGACCGGACAGCTCCAGCTTGTCCTTGTTGCACAACAGTCAACAAGGCGGCGGTTTCGACACCGTGACCGGACAGCCGTTCGCGCAGCCTGGTGTGGTGAGCAATCAGATGCTCGGAGTAAGCTACGTAGAACTGTTCAATGTGAGACAAGCTGCTGTGTGTCTGCTCGAATCAGATTTGACGCTAAAAGTAAGTTGCACCATTCTTTTTCTTTTTAAATCCAGCTTCGTCGGTCTTGATTTATCGGTCATTTCAACGGCCTAATCTTTCTAACGGTAGCTGGAATGTTCAACTTTTGCTGAACCGCGTGTGGTACGCAGATTGAGTCGGCAACCGTTCAGTAGATTACGCGATGTGATCTCGAGATAGCTGAACTTCTGGGAAGTGAAACTGCTAATGGGAACTTCCATGGTTCGACCCCGACCCTGGCTTTCCATTGTCCATGTCTAGTCCGTGGCAGTCTGACAATATTTCAACTATCATGTTTCTCCCAAGTTGAACGACGATCATTCACCAAAATGGCATTACAACTGAAAGCGTTTTATCATTCCAAGGTGACAATCAGGACAGAAAACTCCTTTGAGAACGCGGGTTTTACGATTAGACGAATGCGGTATGGACGTTCAAAGACTGACAACCTTTTGAATGAATGCAACTCCAAGAGATTTGAATTTGATGTCGAACGGATGGGACTTATCATATCTCATCCGTTTTGACCCGATGACCCGATGCTTCGGATTGGGTCTGGGACATGTTGACGTCTGGGGACGAGCAACGTGACTCCTGGAGTCAGGCGTTACAGTCCTGCGGTTGAATACGGCCTGACGCATTCAAAGGTTTTGTCCTCTATGATAGGCTGAATAAAACTCGCGCGTAACTTGTCTGGATGCATAGCTTTTCCTATTTGCCTGCCCATTCTGTGTCTTTCTCGATTTAACTAGCTGTCCTGAATTTCGTATGGTCTTCATTTTTTCACTCCGCAATAGTCTGCCGTAGCTGAACGTGCCTCGTTCATGGTGAATTTGGGCCAGTTGTTGAGCCAAATGGCAACACCGGAAGATTTGGGCAAACGTATGAGTCAGGGATTGTCACTCACCTGCTGGGTAGATGTGGCTACCGGCACACTCGGTTTCGATCTAAACGGTCGTGACACGGGAATTCGTTTTCAGGTGAGTCGAGCTGGTGACGCAGTTCAGGTGAATAGTCGTATTTGGCCGGTTTAACTGAGACATATTCATTCATCCATTCAGGTCGAACCCTCCACACGGTTGTTCGGAGCTGTCTTCTATCGACCCACAGTACGTGAGGCGATCCACTTTGAATTCACTCGACGGAATCGATACACGCTTCCAGTGACAGCCAGTATGTTGCGACCACCAAGACAGGCGTCCAGTCTGCCGCCGCATCGTCTGAAGGTCCAAGCTTTACAAGTAAGCCTGTTTTAGTTCATAACTCCCTTCGGATACTGGCTCACAGCAGTGAATAGACCTGTTTGACAAACCTATTTTGCGATTGTTCAGTCCTTTTTACGTTAAAACGGTGAACCATTTCGGCTAGCTATGAATCCAAGACAGCTTCAAAGGAACTCAACGTTGACTTGGGTCACTCAAATCCCAAAGTAAGAGCTCGCACGTAGCCGCCCCCGCGCTGACAGATCTCCTGACTTGCAGGCGGATTAAATGCGACAGAATCCCAACAGTCGAAACAGTGAATTTGCTTTGAGTTTGGGTCAGAATCACCTAAATCTACGTTGACTCCAACAGGAGTTACAATGGAATCACTGAAAGAAGAACAACGTGTTCTTCTGATCACACTGAGGCAGCACGTCGCTCTGCTGGTGACGCGTATCCACTGTGTGCGTCACTTGTGGCGTCAAAAAGGCATCTCACTGGATCTTAAGGGTCGTGTGTACCACGTTACAGTCAGGGCCATGTTGTTATATGGGTGCGAGACATGGCCTCTGCGGATAGATGATGTGAGGCGTCTTCAGGTTTTCGATCACAGATGCCTCAGAAGCGTGGCTGGTCTTGGATGGCGTCAGCGTGTTAGTAACGAGGTGATTAGAAAACGGGTGTTTGATCGTGCTGCAGGCACTTCAATCCGGGAAAACATCCAGCATCATCGACTACGATGGCTCGGTCATGTGCTGCGCATACCGAAACACCGTCTACCGAGACGAGTGTTGCTCTCCGTGCCTCCTTCAGGATGGCGTAAGCCGCGAGGTGGACAGCACATGACTTGGCAGAAATGCGTGAAAGAGATCACGAAGAGTTTGGGTGTTGTTGGTGTTGTACGTCTTCCAGGATGGGGTCCCCGTGACATCGTCTGTGCTTGGCTGGAGACATTGGAAGAAATGGCGGCTAATCGATGTCAGTGGCGTTCGTGCTGTCAGTTTTTTCAAGATTGTCTGACGAGGGGTTGGAGGTGTAGGTATCTCAGAATGCTTGACATAGGCCAGCACTAGGTTCCTTCCCTCACCCACTCTTTTCCTCTTCTTTTCACTCTTTGGCTTTTAATAAATTACCTTCTGGTTATGCAGCAGTGAAGCATCAGTGCCAACACTGATGTTGTTGTCTTTGATGATGATGATGATGTGTGCGCTGGAATTTGAACCAAGAAGCATCTGTTTGATTGAAACAGAGACTTGACATTCGGTTGTAGGGTGTGATAGCTACCGTTGCCAAGTGCATGTCGTTAGATTGAATTTGATATGTTTCGGAGTAACATTGGATTAATTGGATTTCAATTTGTGACCTTTGGTACAGAATGCCTAAGATTTCATGTCTCTGCATATTCTGTCGCGCATTGTCACCCACAGCGTTTGCATTGGGCCCGTGTACCGCCAAGGACGGTCAAGATGTATAGCATGAAAATAAGCGATCAGCGTGGTTGGAGCACCATCTTGGAAGACCCGGTTTCCGAGCTGGCTGTACAGCTCCCGGAATCTGGGAGATGTGTGACCGCTTTGGAGTTGGACGAGATGCCCCCTTTGCTCAAGTAAGTCTCCTCCCTCCAGCTTTGGTAGTTTGACCTCCGGCTACGTTTGGTAACCTATTTTGCCAATACACTACTCACTGTAGTTCACAAGGCGTCAGAAAAACACGTAAGTAATGACACGGGTGTGTTGTCTACACGCAGCCAAACTGGTTCGCTTTCGTGGCGGATAGGGCAACAACCGAGTCCACGCCCAGTCAACTCACAACTCGCACGCGAGCCAACTAACCGGACACGCATCCAATCAGCCACTCAAGTCACACGCCAGATCGATAGTGGATCGACGAACGGACACGCACACACACGCGCGCAAACTTTCTGACACACCGAAGCAGCTACTGCACTACTTTACGCAAATCACACGTGACTCAACCAAATTCCGTTATCATTTGAGAAACTTTACACCCCTATTGTAAGTGGACAGGTGACGGGCGTTCGGTGGAGATGTGTGTGTGTTATATCTGCTGATTCGCCAATCTGTTATATCTGACTGTTGACCCGATCCAGTACCCAGTGCCGGAAAAAGGATTCACAGAAGGGAACACAACAGCTAGTGAAATACACTCATTCGCGAACTAATTTGGTTTTTTGAGAGACTCACCTGGAACCCAGCTGAATCTCTCGTTTAGGATGTCGCCAGGCCACTGAATGTGCTGCACTTGGCCGCCTCATGTTTCAATCGCTACGATATTCGTGATATTGCGACATATGTAAATTCGTAATGCACTACTCATAAGGTTACTGACGTCGAATTTTCGGCAAACTTGTGAGTAGTGCATTACGAAAACTCAACAGCTATATTCCGAACAAACGAATGCGAGAGCGTGAGTGCGTGCGAGTGCGAAAATACAAGCTGTTTATTGGAGGGACACTTTCTTAACTTGGTCCAATGTTGACGCAAATTATCTGGTTTTGATACAAGGCTGTGACACGCTGCATATTGCCGGGGCGTTGTCTGTCTGGTCAACATCTAGCGGAGTTAAGGGTCTCAGTAGATTTCGGGCATTCAGTGGTTGATTTCAGGAATCTGACCTTCCTAATAGTGTGTACCAATAGCCCCCCCCTATATCACCTATTTATGTGCCAATTTCTATTTGACCTACAGTGTTTAGTTATTCACGCCACTCATGCTTCCCCACGTGATGAGTAGCCCACACACTGCGGTCACACGTGGTTGAGATAAGTCCATTTTACTGATCGCGATTTTCATGCTGTGGCTTCCCTAGGTTCCATTCACACACGCTGGAACTCTACCGAGCTCTGTGTTGTCATGCTAACCATAACGTTGCTCAAAGTCTGACGCAACATGTGGACGCTCATCAACTTCTGCATGTGTTCACGGCTGCCGGTAAGTTAAAAACCAATAATGCACACGCTGGTGTTTTGACTCTCTTCTGCTCGAATCACCCTGACCTCGGCCAATTCTGTGCACACTACAGATATACCTGGACCTCTACGATCCGGCTTTGTCGAGCTTATGCTCACAATGCATGTGTCCAGTCATGTGAAATTGAAACAAGTTACCGGGAAAGAATTCATCGTGCCGCTCGTACGTCCAGATATGAGCAAACCGGAACTGTTGAGCATGGGTAGCCCGGAAGAGCTGACACGAGAGGAAGACGCCGAGGAAGGACCGGAAAGCTTCGATTTCGATCGCATCCCAGCTGTCAGTGAACATCTGAGTATCCGACCGCGGCTGAAGACCGATCCACATTTGCTCATGTAAGTGTCACTTACCACATCCGGTCTAATTCGACCTAGTACAAATAAGCATGATCGATAACGCCGAACACAGACAGTCCCTGTCAGTCCCGTCCATCTTCTTTTATCCACTTCAGTCCCGGAGCCGACGGTACAGGCAGTGTTCCGGTACCAGCACAACTGGAGAAGAGCAAAGAAGATGCAGCTCTGTCCGCGGCGATGAGTGTTGCCGGACCAGGCGGCCTACTCAAACTGGCGGACTGTCCAGACTTCCCAATCACCCAGCTAAAAGAACTCTGTCTGAGTTGTCTGGTGGAAAGTGTGAACCGTGGTGGAGGGATTCGTGATCCAGCCGGAGGGAACTTCGAACATTTGCTGCTGTGAGTTTCCTTCCTTCCTTTCTTCTTGCTAAACCACATAGCCTTTCACGCTTGGGTTGACACGGCGTCGCTTATTTGAACTGTCCATCGATTGTTCTGATTGACTGTCCCACTGTCTGGCCTCAGTGAACCTAGAATAGAACGCACTTACTCATGAGTAGTAAGAAAGCATCGCTGTTTTTTTAATCGAACAGCTCCAGTACCCGGCTATTTGGCTTAGCGTCCATACAGCTTGAGATTTTCACCAGGCATACTTCACGCATTTTCAACTAGGTGTGTCAGTTTATTCATAGAACATAAACCACCGGGAACCACTGGCTCCAAATCCATAACTTACCAGCTGTGAGCAAAACGCATGAGCAACGGCGAGTACTGTCTCCAAAACTCTTGCGGGCCTCCCTCTAAACGATAGCTTGTTTGAGGTAGCGTAAAACAGGTTACCATATCAAGTGATGAAACGCCGGTAATTCATTGTTGTTCAGCTCATTATCTATTATCATTATTGTCCATTCACAGTCCACTTCTCCGTACCATCAACTGTTTGTTGGTGATGGGCACTTTGGACGCCACAGATGTGAAGATACTTCTGGCCATTCTGGACCCGAAAACCTTCGAGAATCCTAGGCATATGAGCAGTGAGTTGAATTCCTGTTCGCTCGTCTTGTTTGCCGAATAATTTTCACCTGTCCACTCAGAGTATACCCAATCAGAACTTTCTATATCCATATGTTGATTATGGGACGTGCCGAACCGAAGCCAAACTGAAATGATTCTCGTATGCTGGGGAGAACAGTCACCCTTACTTTTAGGTATGAATAGTCCAGATCGAACTAATGGCTCAAGATTGGAGTATGCTTGTTGAGTGCCCCAGTCACGTGATGCCAGGAAAACTATGCATTTTTGCATCTCTGCCCCTTGATCGGCCTTTGAGGTGTGCGTGTTGCGTGTGAGCACGGTCTAGTGCTTGTGTTTGATGCTAGTTACGCATGAAAAGAGGCAACGATTTGCTTGTCCACTATTCGTAGTGAAGACCAAAAAGCCATCAGATAGGACCTCGTCTACTTGGTGTGTGGCCGACGAGGGAAGTGACCTCTATCACCTCTCATCATAATTGGCCAATACACACTCGGAAGTGTGTGGGTGGGTAAAATGCATGCGCTAGAAAAGTCGGAACCACTCGGCTTTGGGCGAGTACCATATCGATCCGTCCACATCAGCGGGGGATCGCAGCGGTGAACGAGTCCCAACACGAACTGGGACCAAAACGGTGAGAAGACAAGCTGCGCTACTCACGCTTTTTGTGCTGCCATTTCGTGCGCTTTGCTGGCACTCCGCTACCTAAGCATTCAAGGCACGACAAGTGCGAGCCGTCAGGTTCTCAACCGCCTACAGGTCGGCGCTTCACCACGGTGGCCGAGACTCGGCCCTATTGGTTTGCGTAGTTAGTCGGAGTGAACACACATAGGAAAGCCTGTCCGTGCGACCAATCGCAAGGCAGCAAGAAGCTTATTGGTCAAGGATCACTAACCACGCGTGACATTAGCTTGGCTAACTGGGGCACTGTCACTCACGTGGCGAAGACAGTCGGTGTGGCTCAGTGTGAGGCGAGCAGGCCGATGTGTCAATCAATAGGTCTGTTAGCCAAACCTGAATCACTCATCCGGAGTTCTCCCTAGTATGTGACATGCCAATGCTGCCACCATTTAAGATTGCTGTCTCTGACAATTGACGCTGTCGCAAACGAACCAGCCGACCACTTACTTCTTTCTTTATAGCTGCAATTGGCGAGAGTTTGCTGGAATTCCCACTACCGGAGAGTGTTCAGCTGGAAGTCTGCCGATTACTACACACCCTTTGTGACCTTCAGCTACGTCACCGTGTCGAACAGGTCGTGAAATTCGCCAGCACATTTGTTAAGGAGCTCCAGTCGGTGAGTAGTTTGTTACTTCTCACTGTGTACAGTAACAGTCGAACTTATCTTCTGGTTTATTGCCGACCCTTATCGCGTGGGGTTAGCTTGAAGGAAAGGCAAGCAGAATTATTCACGTCTTTGTCGGCCTTGTACTTTTTCCCACCACAGGATCAATATTCGCGCTACATGGCTATCAAGCTGTCCAACTTGCCATCATCTGTGGCTGCCAGGCGAACCAGAGAATTTCGCTGTCCGGCAGCCGTACAGATGTCATGCCTCCTTCGAATGCCCGGTCCCGGTGGACCAACCGGTCGGTTGGAAGAAGGTCCAGAAACAACTAGCGAAGAGCCGACAAACACGGAGCCCACGGAACCGAACCCCATGGAGGAACCTGGTGATGAAAACAAGGAGGGAGAAGAGTCCGAAGGCGAGGACACCAATCGTTGTGCAGAAGAGGTTAAAGTAAGCTCACGCATCCCTTGATTCTATCCGAAACACATATAGATGCCCAGTGTTCCGGTTTTTGATGAATTGACGGGTTTTCAACTTGACTTCTGTTATCGGCTGTTGGTCTATGCTTTCGGTCCTGTAAAATTAGCATCACCGAACGATCAGTCACCCAACACAGTCTCCAAAGCTTAGGTCATCCCAGTTTGCCTCCAAGTTTTAAGGTCGATTTGTTCCAGTTTGATTACTCAACTCTGGTCAGCCGGTGGACCTACCCAAACCGTCTTGCTGCTCACGTTCTGCTTTTTTGTGTACATGATGATTGTTCATGCAGCGCATTGATGTCTGGATCATGTGAAGTTTACTCACTCCCATTTTATCGTGTTTCCGGTCCAAATGTCCTGCGTTCCCATCCTCAGTTAGATTTTGGTGTTTGCTGTTTATTAGGAGAACCAGCCCTGAACGTAACGGGACTTCATAACAGCCAATGGAATAACCGTTTTTCTTTGAGACACATTTCATTGGTTGCTCTTTACTCGCCCTTGACAGGTGAGTTTTATTCTTAGTATCACTTTTTTGGCCCGCTTATACGCAACGGCGATCAATAGAGCAGCTGGCTTGCACGTTCGTTGGCTTTTCTGGTTTGATCAAGCGCACCAGGCTATCAATCGGCTATCCAGACCGGGGTTCACGGTAATAAGAAGGCATTAAGGAGACTGGTCCACAACAATTTGGCGACGGAGATGGGATGGTCTGTGATCCACAACACTGCTTTTCTAATGCAAGTCATTTCGTTAGAAGTGTTTGTCCCTTTTTAGAGTTTATGATTCTCTTGTTAATTGTGGACTTTTTGGAAACACGTCCACCTTTAGCTCAGCAACCTGTAATGCGTGTGTGGCTATCAGTTTCACCATCTCCTCAATAAAACATCATTCCACGTTACTTTGTCCTGAAGGAACTTCTAAGAAGATTCCACAAACACCTCACAGACAAACTCGGCGTCCTTCGGCCAGGCAGTGAAGGAGCTGATGCCGGTGAACACGGTGGATCGGAATCGATGATCGACAGTGGCTATGGCGATAATAGTCGGGTGTTCCCGGTGACACATGCACCGGACAACTTGAGTTTAGTCTCTTTTGGTCAGGTGTATCCCCCAGACGACCTACAGACGGCTCTGTCCCGCCTCCCCCTAGTCCCTCCTGACATGGGTAATCCGGAAGAAGGTTCTGGGGTTCCTCCGTGGATTTTACAAGCGGCCTGGAATCTTATTATGAAGAAACGTGGTTACTCACCAACCGAAGATGAACAGAAAGAGCTCGATCGGCTGTATGAAGCACAAAAGTCTGAAGCGGCGGGAAAAAGTACGTGTGCTTTTGCTCTCTTTAGTCTGATGAATGAAATAATCTTTCTGTTTCATACCGAATATATTTCCATCTCTAGCGTAAGTTTACTTCATCTCTTTATTGATCGGTTATTATCAAGCCATTACTTTCTTCCCAGTTTGTATGCTAATGTAAACCAACTTCCTCAAAGTTCTGGCGACTGGGTTCCACGGTGCGGTGCTATTTAGCTTGAGCTTTAAGGCCAGTCAATAACTTACCGATGTATACCAACGAATGAGTGGTGTGCGTCGCACATTCGGAGCACACACGCACACGGAATGTCGTGACACGCTGAAATGCACTTAAACCGCTGTTCTTAATCAACCAATCAGATCTGAAAGGGCTGTCAACCAATGAACATCAAACTTGGATCAGCGGTTTCGGCACCGGAAAATGGGTTGAGATCAGTTACTAGACAGTCTCCCAGACTAGTTCTGGTAGTCACTAGGTCTAATAAATTAGAGCAGTATCACAGGTTCAAACTCAACTTGGGTTGATCACTATGGGCTCGAGTATGGCGCTCACTGGAATTCTTCACTCGTGCCTGGATTTCCAGCTTCTGCCCTGCGGTACGGAGATAAGCTATGCTATTAACAGTGAACCAAAGTTAATGCATCCCGAATCGTTCGACCACACGACGATGATTGCTTCACTGGACCGTTCGAATCTCAGTCATTTTCCCGGATTGCTCAGCTCTGATCACAGCGCTTTCGTGTACCAAAAATGCCCCTGAAAGAGGATCGTCAATGGGCTGGAACATGCTGGCAGATCCGAATAACTCACTGTGTTTCCACATTAGGTGTTGAGTTGTCCGTGAGGAACTTAGGATACATATAGAGTGGAAGATCCCGGGTATAAAGAAAACCAGGTGTTGGATGCAAAAATCCAAAGTACTAATTACGAACAACATACATATAAAGGTGGCTAGCGTGGCACGTTGTCGATGTCAGCATACCATAGAAAGTGAATGGAATGGGAACCGATAGTCACAGTCACCGAAGAGACCAAACCGATGGCTCAGAGTGTTCATGTGAGGTAGGACTTATCAAAACAACACGTCAAAAGGACAACCGTGCCATGACATACACTTGAACGCGTACGCAAATATCCCAGTGTTGAACAGAAAGATAAACGATGGCGTGGGTGTGTAAAGGTCGGCAGTGAACAATCCGATCTGGCATATGAGATAAGTCATATGGAAATATGCGAACGAAGCGGCTAAACGCATGAAAAAAGCACCGGGCTATCGCAATGGAACATTTCCCATAAAAATAGAGTTCTTTCTCTAGAAGCACAATTTAATCATGCATGCATAAAAGTGTACACGTTTTACACTCCAAGCCGTAACATCATCATCATCGTCATCATCATCATCATCATCATCATCATCATCTTATCCCATCTTCTCGCAGATACCTTCACTGATCTCATCACTAGAACCATCGTGAAGTGGGCCCGTAGCAAGTACATTGAAAACTTGGAGTTGATCAGAGAGATGTTCTCAGTCCTCTATCGCCAGTATAACGCGATTGAAGAGGTACGTGATGACGCGATGAACGGTTATTGTCTTTCGCTGTTTCGTTTAAACCATTTCATTTCCAACCATTTTCATCCGATTTTTTTTAGTTGCGGGGTGCCCTGGCGAAAACGTATGTCATATCTTCACTGTCACAAGACGAAGTGTCGCGACTTCTACGTTCGCTCGGTCGAGTTCGCTGCCTTTTGGGAGTGCAGCTGGGTTCAAATGAAGAGATGTTGCTCAAAAACTGTCTCTGGTATGTCTTCACTGTGTTTCATATGTTCGAAACATGAAAAAGAAACCGATGATCAATCTTAACATGTGGACAATCACTGTGGGGCAAGACCTCCCTGCCTTCTGATAAATGACAGAACTTATCGTTCAAATTTTTGTATTTTATGTGTTACGACGGGATGGTGATCCTAAGTTCGGCGTTACTAGGCTAGTGTCTCAAAACCGAAGTTCAGAAGGTGAGTATATTTGTACCGAAAAGCCGAGAAGTATTGGAAACTGTTTCCTTGTTTGGTGGTCCTCAAAATCGCAACTTATATCTTCAACCTTTGTTGTACTGTGCATCCGTTATCGCCCAGTTGCGTGATGCCTCGGTTTATCTGGATGCTTCTTGGGCAAAAGCCTGTTTTTTGTACGTCCTGCTGTTGCTACTGATATTTTACTTAGTAGTGGGAAGTGAGCGAACTTTTTACCAACGGCCTCTGTGGAGAGCGACAAAATCGCTGTCTCACCACAACCTATCCGGTGGACCACTGAGAGGTAGCGCTAATGAATGGAAATCGTGGAAGTATCTAGGAGAGGAGTTGACTCTTACTCCAACTGGTCAATCTGCCAACCCTACTGAACACGTGGCACTGGTGTAATGAATACTACTGATGTGCCATATGAGTAATGGTTAGTGGCCAAACATATGATGGAAGGTGAAGTTTATTGCGGAAATTGTGAAACCGCTTTGCATTATTCGTCTAACAGTCAGCGAATATCCAGGAAAGTTCCAGAAGAAGCGTAAGAATGTTCAAATTTTAAAGACTATGTGCGTATTAGATGTTTAATGACCTGTAGCTGCTTAGTTCGTGTTCGCTAACAAATGACTTTGCGGCGCAGTGCTTTCCTCCCTTCACTGGCGCACTTCGAATTATGGAATTCCCATCGGATTCCAACAATTTTGTTGACAGAGAGTTTAGCCGGCTCACTTTTGCGTTTCCTTAGGGATCTGATGAACAACAAGGTATTCTTCCAGCACCCGGACCTCACACGTTGTCTGGCCGTACACGAAACGGTGATGCAGCTGATGGTCCAGACTCTTACGAAGGCCACGTTGGAGCAACCCGGTACAGCTGGTAGCGGCGGTGCAGCAGATGCATCTGGAGTGCGCACTTCTGCTGAAAGCGGCGTTACTGTCGCCACATCTTCGGCGATACTTCCGGTCGTTCAAGAAGAAGGTTAGTCCCACGAGTGCGGTTGCATCCTTAGTGGCTTGGGGTTTTGTACGATTCTGTTCAGAAGCGTGATCTTGTGAGGAACTTCCAATGGTCACGCCTGGTGTATCGTGACTTTACTACCGAATTTGTACGATTACGAGGTATTGTAGAAACTACGGCAGTCATACCATTTCATTGCAGGCTACTTGATGATCGTGACCAGCATTTGACAGAGTGGTATAAATGCATACACGGAGGGACGAGTGGTTGAATATTCTCCAAGGCGAAAAATCTGATATATCACTATACTATACTACTAATATACCACCACATTACTACTGAAGTGGTGGATTTGCTGAACAGCATTTCATTTGGTGTGTGTCTTAACTGAACACATTACGAATGGACCACATTCCAAAACTGTGTTCAGCCTCAGGGCCAAAAGTTTTCCTGTCACCAACGTCTTCGAGATTTCGGAAAGTTTGGTATTATTACACAAATACTCTCACACTCGATCGACCATTTGCTCAGTTGTAAAGTTTGTTGAAAGTTGTTTCGCATCAAAACCAACTTCAACTGGTTATAATAGGAATAAGCAATCTAGAAAAGCTAATGTAGACGCAACTGAGCAGGTACTATAAAGGGTAAACTTTAAAACAGTAAGGCTTGGTGGGACTAACCCAGAGGTAACTATGGATTTACCAGTTCCCCTCATCATTCCAGACAAGAAGCGAACGTCGGCTGTGATTCGATGGAAACCGGCCACTCGGGCAAATCAATCTAACTACGTCCCACAGAGCTGACACGTGCTCTATCCTCAAACTGTCCGTGCTGCATCTTTAGGTTCACTCTTCGTTCCTTCCTCACCTTGTACAGGTCTCGGATTGGCAACAAGCACGACAGAACAACGAAACGCCGCCGGTCCCACGGAGATGGTCGTCCAGTGCTGTCGGTTTCTATGCTACTTCTGTCGAACTTCACGAGGAAATCAGAAGGCCATGTTCGAACATTTGAGTTACATGTTGGAGAACTCGTCCATGCTCCTTGGTGAGTATTATCTAGCTTGGCTGGTTTTCTATCGGAACCAGGTGTCTGTGTGTCTGAGGGTGTTTGTGTTCGATACTCCAGTTTAGGGACAATTTGGGGGCCTGAACGTGTTATATCTGCTGATTGGCCAATCTGTGGTATCTGCTGCTGACCCGCTCCAGTGCCTAGCTGCCGGAAAAAAAACTCACAGAAGGGAACACAACAGCTATATTCCGAACAAGCGAGTGAGTGAGAGAGCACAATTCACAACGGCCCCACGCTATTTAAAGGGGACTTTCTGACATTGTTTCAGGTTGTCTGATGGGCGTTAGTGAGCACCCATCAATATCGATCGTGCCTCTGTGAAGAAGCCTGAACTCTGATCACATTCGGTCGTGCTTCTGTGGCGCGCAAGAACACTCATCAAGTTTTGCTGAATTACTTGAATGATTGACTGGCCTGGATGCTTGAGTTTTTGGTGAGCACTTTTTGGTGGAGCAGCGGGTTTCGGGCGTTCTGAGGTTGCTTTCAGGAATCTGACCTTTCTGATACAACAATATCGTTTGTCGGCGATCTGTTTTAGGTTCATTTTCCGATACCGTTGTCCACTTGCCTAGTCTAGTGTACATGTTCCTTGGCCGGCTGAATTCTGAGATGGCTCGTGGGAATTTTCCGTTTCGGAACAAAGTTGCTGGTGGTTTGTAAGCGGTGCGAATTTATTGAGGTTTTAGTCCAATTCTCACAATGGGAAGCCGCAAGGCACTTTGCAGCAGTTCCATTCTTGTATAGACGTGGTGCACTACTCATCATAAACGAGAGTTTTAACTGGGTTCCAGGTGAGTCCCCGGTCGAAACCACGTTGATATACAAAACAGTTTCCTACTCGTTGGGAACTATTCAACGGTGCGCACCTCTCTGATCATCTGAAAGATTCCAGAAACCAGTTAATGTAATGAGCATATGAGGGCAAATCAGCGGACTGTGTCACGTGATAGGGAACATTCCGACTACCCCATCCATCAAATTACCTACCGGAGCCCGGCTAGCTGAGTTGACTGGACTGTTAAAGCTCGCATCCCCTAACTACAGAAACTGTGACCGAGTAACTTTGGCCTGGTGGAACAGAGGGGAACAATGGCTGTTTTTCTACGCACGCCAAATTAAGCGCCTTGAGTTTCTGTGATACTGATTTTATGGGTGAATTCTTGTAAAACCCGTTGTTTTTCGGATATGTAGCCACATTTGCAATAATCATCAGGCGTTTGAACTTTCAGTTGTTTGTTTCGAAAAGGCGAGATGGCTCAATAATTAGAGCGCGAATTTACTGACCGCAGCGTCCGTCGTTCCAACCTGACCTCTGCCTCTCAACGTCCCCCGTCTAGGCTTAGGAAACCTCGCAGTATCCCAGCCCTCGTGCTTCCTTCTGGTGGCATGGCGGTTAGGCACCGAGAGGGTGTTACAGCTGAACGATGTTTGTTTCGAAGGTCAACCGAATATTGCTAATCCAACTGTTAGTCGTACTGTTTTATTTGCGAACATGTAACCGCTGCTTATTCTGGTAAGCAAATAACCTCTACCTTGTCTGGAAATTTCAGCTCGTCCCAGTCTCCGCGGTACCTGCCCACTGGACGTGGCGTACTCATCCTTGATGGACAATAATGAATTGGCATTGGCGTTGCGTGAAAAGCAGTTGGAAAAGGTAAGTCTCTCTGTCCGATGTGATTTGAGCAGGGAGAATGAAGAAACCTGGAAACCGTGAGGCAGCCACACACCTGCACCATGCGGGGGTGGGTCGAATTAAGAATCTGGTTGCTGCATCAAGCCATTTGATGGGTCATTCGAAATGTGGACTCTGCTGAAAACAGATCAATCAAACTGGAAAGGCAGTTTGCAGAAACACAATAGAATACTGATTACGTGACATACTTCCCCTTTTCAAACGTTTTGATGGCTATTCTATACTTCGCCATAGGTCCTCTCAGATGACAAGCTAGCTTCCAAATGGTCGCAGTTCGTCCGCCCATCAGATCCTATTGGAACCAAGTGTTTCGTCTTGTTTGATAAACGAAAGCAGCCTAGCTCAGTCGAACGTGAAAACTTGGATTGGAAACTAAAAAAACATCAGGAACCATACAGATCAACGTGAGTGACTTGTGCTTCAAAGAGTCATAGGAACCAAAATGTGGGGAAGCTGAGCCTACTGAAGTATGTCAGTAGTATGAATGGAATGAAGCACTGAATACCACTCGTGGCAAAGTTATTTAACATGCTGTACACCGGCTGAAGGAAGTCTTGTGGAACTGCACACTTAAGAAATTTGCATCAATCTTGTTTCAGTCTTTCCTTAATTTCAAAACGTTCTTTTGCTTCTCTGCTCCAGGTGGCCGTTTACCTCTCTCGTTGTGGTGTGCAGTCAAATGCAGAACTACTTGCCAAGGGTTACCCAGACATTGGCTGGGATCCAGTCGAAGGCGAACGCTTTTTAGATTTCTTACGCTTTACTGTTTGGGTAAACGGTAAGTCATCCATACTGTACATTGACTTTTGACCTCAGCAGGGTTTTCGGGGTTTACCCATCATCAAACTTCCTTGTGTTACATTTCTTCTAGGCGAAACGGTGGAAGAGAACGCCAACCTTGTTGTACGACTGCTGATTCGTAGACCCGAGTGTCTGGGACCCGCACTTCGCGGTGGGTCGAAAACGATGAAGCCACCAACGGCCGTGGCAGCAATCGAAGGAAACGAGTTACCGCCTGGTGGTCCCGGTGAACTCCGTGATGCAGGTGAGACGACCAACCCCGATGTCGAAGCTCAACAAACCTTGGTCGGTGGAGGCCTTTTGAAGGCGATGAAGGAAGGCATCGTCATGTCTGCGCAAATCAAGCTGGTGAAGATGGCCCAAGAAGCCGAGGCTGCCGGACTGAATCCAGAGGATGAAGACTTGGGGTGGCGTACCGTACTGATGGACTATGAAGATGCGAATCTGTTTGTCCCATTGCCGTATAACTTTGAATGTCTTCCAGTAAGTTAGCCTATCAAGCGACCTGTCGAGATTTGTTTTCCAAAACGGCATCTGCCTAATGCGTTCGGATGTCATTTTTTCTCGGTAGCCTGAAGACAGTCCGGACTACATTGACTTGGGCGCAGCAATCCTGACATTCCACTCGGTGTTGGTCAATTTGTTGGGCTTCTGTGCTCCGGACATGGAGACAACCAAGAGCGAGTCTGTTCGAGCGCGATCGATTCTACAATCCCTAGTCAGCATGAATGACTTGGAGGGTGTTTTATCTCTTCGGTTCATCCTGCCTCCTCCAAAACTTGAAACGCAGGTAAGTTCGTTTCGTAAGAAGCATTTCGTCTATTAACTCTTGAACTTTTTTCTATGTATGTCTGCTGGCTGAATTCCCCCCAGGAAAGCTAGCCAACCTCTAAAAATAAGCGTTGGATCCGTCAGCAGTCCAGGACGAACAATATGTGCAGACATATTGGAGAGCTCAATGAAGCTATTGTCATCCAATCCAATGAAATTTGCGCATCGCCTCCCCTGTTTGCCGCACAGGAACTAAAGCCATAGTGTTGGGCTTAACTTGCATTGAGCCTACGAGTTAAAGGAAGAAGGTCTCCGCTGCGGAAAGTGCCGGCTGACCAGTTACAGACTATTGGACAGGGAAGCAAAACTCTCATTTGCGTCTTATTTGCAAAAACTGAACATCCATCTTCTCTTGAACGCGTCCTCCTGAACATTCCTGGATATTCATTGACTGTTGCTCAAATCCAAGCAAGTGCTACAAAGCGGCTCCACAAATTCTGCAACAGATCTTCTTTTTCCAAGAGACGCAAAGTGGATTTACAAGAAGAAATCATACTACTCGCATGCTTCCCCATCAGTAGTATCACCGTTGCGCGAGTAGTACCAACCCGATGGGTTTGTCGCAGACAAGAAGTCAACAAAAGGGCAACGGTTCTGTGGTCTTTGACGCTCCCTTCTTCCCGAGAATCTTTGGGACTGATAAAAGTGTCCACGTTACGAATATGCCCGAGTTAATCCTTTCCCACCATCACGTGAAAATACTGAAACTGATGGTGTGGACATTTGTACGGTTGGATGTCTCTCCGTTCTGGATAGGGTATTCTACCTGTAGCGCATCTCATCTATCACTGGTACACGAGGTCTTTACATTGAAGCGTGTGATTCCATCACTTTAAATCTAGCGGTTGCGTATGCCGTGCCTGAACATGCTTGAGACGAGGATCTATCAGGATCTATCTACCGAAACCGGTTAAAAACTAGGCGTGCCTACAGTCAAAGAGCAAGCTGTTTGTATTAGTGCACTGTTGATGATGGCCATAACACAAATCAGGTGTATGCACTAATAGAGGTTTTTAGTGTAGTTGACAATGGTGAGATGCCACACGTGCAAAAACGAATACAATGGAAAATGGGGGCAAGTCAAAAAAGGAACTTGTCGTCTGTGAGGGTGCCTTGGTGAAAGTCCGGATAGCGGGAGCGTGTTTTCTCCGCAGTTTGGCTGCTACACGTGTTCCATAGTTGTCCGTGGACTTGTGGAGAGCGGTTGACTTCCTGCTCCCTGCGCGCGCGCGAGTGTGTGAGCTGAGCCTAGTTGTATGCCTATTTATTGTGTGCAGGTGAAGAGAGGGGTGTCCCTATGTGTTTGGTACTTGCACGAACATGAATACAACTTGACCTGATGTGGTTGAAGGTCGTAAGCGTGATGCAGATGGTAGCCGCGTGAACAAAACTGAATGAGAAGTTGTAGTATACAAGTTATCGGCTGAGGTTGCAAATGGGACAGGAATTGTCACGTGGTTTGAGTGTTCATGACGCGTGATCTGATGAGTGACCTCTACAGATCACATCTACGTACGTAATACGATGGCGCCAGGCCTTAGACTATGGTATGAAAAACGTTGATGTCGTCCACGGCGCTAGTTTCATATTAAGCCAGGTCGGCAAGTGCTACTGCTCTGTTCCAGAGTTAATTAACACAGATGATGCCTCCACTCAATTCCAAACAGTTTGTCGGACTTTTAGACAGCATTTGACTCCAACAGAGACGTTTTTTTTACTGTCAAATGGACAGGAAGGATGAATCCCATTGTATATTGGGACCGCATTCTAGAAGTTAGTGGATTGTAAATATTTGTCGATTTTTTAATTTAATATTTCTATTGTGTGATTGTCACACTGGACACTGTACTCACTAATATGGCAAACTGAATTCCCCATCAGAGGAGAGGAGGTGTAGAAAAAAATATGTGGTCAGAGGTGAAAAAAACAGAATACAGTGGAGTAAAGGCTGGAAAAACTTGGCTTCTGTTCCAGACATCAAGATGGAGTGTCTAATTCAACCTGGGGATAGAGTGGTGCAGCGAAAATTGATCTCCACATCAATCGAATAGTAGTTTGGTTATCTTGCGTGGCAGCCCTCTGCTTTATTCGAATGAGGATACCCGTCTGACAATTTGCTCTCTGAATCTTTTGAAAAAAGGAAACGGATGAGGACTTAATAGTCTCGTGCCCAGGATTCCTGGTCTGACAAGATGGTACACTGCTTTTTTTCCAAACCTTTCCAATAATAGTAGCATACTTACACTTTTCACTGACTTGACATAGGTATTTTTAACGCAATTTTACTAATTCATTGATGCTTTCCATCCAGTTGGATGAAGACGGCCAAGAAGAGTGGGTAGACAAAGCAGGAATGCCTCCTGGCTTGCTACCGGAACACAAAGCTTCCGTTGTCCTGTTCCTCGAGCGTGTCTATGGGATATCAGATGCCGGGACGTTCCTCCGTCTTCTGGAGAATGCGTTCCTACCAGACCTCCGCGCTGCCACCTTGTTGGATGCGGTAAGCCCATCATTAAAAGTACACCATATGTTTTTGATAGGATACGATAACTTTCTGTTTCCTGATAGAACCTCATCGGGAATTCTTGGTGTTCAACACATGAACGACCTTGCAGAGGCGCTGTTACTGTTATATATTCCCGTGTGCTGGGCTGGGACCGCTGAGTTTATGATGAATAGGGATGTGGTGCATAATCTTTCACCGTGGAACTCGCACCAGAAACGAGGGAACTCAATCGTGATATTGATGGATAGGCTGCTCTAGTGGTCATCCATTGGTCACAGTTTACTGTAAAGACTGTGACATTGAAAATGCCAAATTTAGACAACTACTCCCATTTACATACCAAATTCAGCGGTCCTCTATGAGAACAAACACACGGCGAATGAGGACACGGGATAAAAAGAACAACCAATGGAGCCGCCTGACCGAATAACTAATCGCGTTCAAAGGTCACCCCCGGCTACCAGCACGTATATCAGCACACACGTAACACTACTGAACCCACAACCACTAACCCACTGCTACGCACAATTACGCACTGATGATGTCACCTCGATTGGTGATGAAACGTTTGCAACCAAATTGCCCGGCTCAGCGAACAAGTCGACGACCATCTACGCTACTTGAGCTACCGACATTCTCCTCTATAGAAAACACTGTTCAATCCTGCTTGATGCGCGCAGGATAAGTTAGTTTGTCTCGGACTGATACAGTATCACGTAAACCCTTGCATCTACATAAATAATATTTAGGTATGCGGTCACCGTACAAAACAGAACAAGGGCAACGGAAATTGAGGTCAACAAACTCTGAGACTTAGAATTAAGAGTACAAACTTTGGAGCTGAATGTCAGAATCATAGTACTTACGCCCAATGAGTCCTGATTTGTCCTAATTTGCATTCAGAACAATGTCTGTTAGTAATAAGATACTACTAGTTGATTGTTATCGGTAGTAAGTACGCTAACGAAATGTGTCATATGTGCCCTATGAATATTGGGATTTTATCCGTCGGTGGAACACACAATCATTAGGGTAAGCTAAACAGCTCGATTGAAGGCATCATAACATAACTTCAAACATACACTACTTGATTGTACCAAGTAGTATTGGTTAAAACTATGACGTGGGGCTCCGGTGGCGGTGCGTCAGCCCTGCGTCCATGGTTCCTGGGGATCGTGCGCCTTGTTTTAACAGGGAGGAAAGAGAAAACCGTAGGTTGGACGACAGGCTACTAGACGATCACTGATTCTGGCCATAAAGGTGAAAAGCAGGGTTGTAGTGAAGGTAACTGGACAAGGCTTAAGTGAGGACTTCGAATGATGGAACGGTCTCAGCGCCGTTTCATTTTCAATCGCAGGTATGCACACGTAGATTGGTATAGACCTAGATCTAATCGAGAAAATTCATCTCCTTCTAAAGGTACTTTCGTTCAGAAGGCATTTTGTACCTTTCCTCGGGAAGCAGTTGATCAAAAACCTCACGATATGTCTAGATCTTGCGGAGAACACAAGCGCATCTTAGTAGAACAGCATTGTAATATGAGACTATGCAATCTGAAAGTTCATCCACTTACGCTATCTGATCTTGAGCCAACACTCAAGCTTCATTGCATTCCTATCTTCTGACAGGCCGTGGTGCCGGACAGTGATATGGCCCTCGCTTTGAATCGCTACCTTTGCAACAATGTGCTTCCTTTGCTCACGAGACATTCACACTTCCTGCGCGAGGAAGGCTCAGCTGGTGGACTTTTCGAGGCCACTTTACAGACCGCCTACCGCTTATCCAAGTGCAGAGCCATCACTAATCACCAACGTGACATTCTGTGCGAGTTCCTGGTCGCACTGATGCAGCAAATTCGACCGCCGATGATGACCGCATTGCTGCGGAAGATGGCCGTAGATTTGCGCAATTTGTCAAAGGAGGTAAGTGTCGGATCACAAAATTTTCACCTGCCATTCATGGTTTCTCCTCCAGGTACACCGAGGTAATTTTCTTATCATCAGATTTCGGAAGTTTCGTAAAATGAAGTCGTAACTTCAACTTGATCGTATCTGATAGTAAATGCGGAACATCAGACCTAACGTGCGGTTGATCTGCGCGCCTTATAGAGCATTGGCTGATCAGATTCCTAACCCGTCGATTTGATAAGTGAGATTCCAACTGCAGCTGTTCACACTCCCAAAACGATGTTATTGGCAAGAGGTCATACGAGATCCTTAAGCTTTATGAACACAAAAAAGAAGCGGTAAAGGTGTCTGATCTGCTAAATTTCGTCTGGTTGGGTAGACATACGTCTGTCACGCAACCTAATTCAGCTTATTGTTCTACCGTAACCCACTTAGACTGCGTGAATAATTAGAAATTCGAATGAATCTACCAGACAAAGAAGCAAGCATCTCTTATGGAAGTTTATTTGAATGGGTGGTTGCCGAAATGTAACGGTGTCATGGTGACTTTTTATCGATCAGCTTACTCGATCCCCATCGCCAAATGATAAATCGCTCCGTCTGAGTATGATGGACACAGGTCGGGAAGCCACCAAGTTGATATGGAAACTACGGTTCACTGGTACGGAAGAGTAATAACAAAACGCAAAAGGATCACTGGCTAACTGGTGGATATCTCTACACGCCAGTTAATTTGCCATGTCAATGTTTGGTCGGAGTTGACACGCGTCACTGTGCGTGTGTGCAAACCGTAGTAATGGTATTTTTCTCAGCTTATTTCTCGGTCTGAGCCTCCCAAGCTAGCGTTCACGTCAAAACAACCACCAAAGGTGCACAAGGTATATTAACGCCCAAACAAAGTCAGGAACACTTGTACAGCGCTGCATATATATATATATATATATATAGCGTAGGTCGCCTTGATGCCGGACCGGCAAGCGTCCCGAACCTTTGGCCAATCTTGCGTGGGATGATGGGCTTCTCGGCCATGGTAGCACCTGACTGCGAGCAGTAAAGCGGGATCCGTGTGAAATTCCGCCTAACATAAACACAGGTCCAACTGAAGCCAGTTGTGTCAAATACCGAAACTATTAAGTATCTGAGTCCGGAACGACAAAGCTGAGTCAATTTCTGGTTCCGGGGAATCATCATCGTATCACATCTCACGAATCTCTTGAGATAGTTGAACCCACAGCCTTGTGGACAGGAATTCGAAAACCGCATACAGCTGACCAACATTACGATTGGCCTACAACCACGCTAAATTGTGACGTTTCTCAGTGCAGTGCTTCTAGGTTTTCTAGCGAGAACTCCTTTGGGGAGGAATTTAAAGCCGCAGTTTGGAAATCCCCACACTGCCCATAGAATATAAACTTCACCCTCTTACCCAGTGTCAGTGACGGAGAGGAAACTTACTGAGACTTAGCGAAATACACTCAGTTGCAAACCAATCTGGTTTTCCGGGTTTTTCGCCTGAAACCTGGCTAAATCTCCAGTTTGAGTGTAGTTCGCTAATCGCGTGCAATTTGGGTTCAAGTAGAACATAAAGTTGACGGAAACCTGGAGACCGCGCCTATCTGAGGAGCCCCAAGAAGGAGAAACCAGTCGTGGGCTGTCGAAGGATTTTCAACAACCTTATTATTGTGGGCCGAAGACACCTAATGCCGTTTTGTTACCGTGAACGCCGGTTTGAATAGCCGCCTGATCGCATGGTGCGCCTGACCAAACCAGAAAAAGCCGGTAAACGTGCGAGCCAGCTGCCCAATTGACCACTGGCGCTTACAAGCGGTCAAAGAGTGATACTAAGCATACAACTCATCTGTCAAGGGCGAGTGAAGAATAACCAATGAAATTTGTCTAAGCGAAAAACGGGTATTCCATTGGCAGTCATGTAGTCCCATTAGGTTCGGAGCTGGTTCTCCTAATACTTACGAGTAGTATATTACTTCTTACTAAGGCTTGTTTTGAGATTGGTCTTTTGACGGTTTACTCAGGACATGTATTTGAGAATCTACATGACCTCTCATACGGATGGTGACCCGAACCGTTAAGGTGACAGGTTGGCACTGTGGGTGAAATCTGCTGCCCTTTTTCTCCCTTAACGAAAAAAAGCATCCTCTTGAAATTCAGCACGTACGCCTCAACAGAAATATATAAATTGGGACTTTGCTGCTGTTAGCCTCGGGTTCTGAATTGGTGAAATTTCTGCTCATCCCATCCATTTTTGCGCACATAAATTCAAAAGGTTAGTTGAGAAATTCGAGACAGATCATCCCACATATTATTGATCCCTATTCCTTTTAGTCGGTCGTTCCACTTCGTGTTCTCACGGAATTTTATCAACGTTGTGGAACCTATTACACATCCGAAGGTTGGACGGATGATTTCAAGTCTGTAGCGGCAGCTGCAGCAGTCGGTGCGGGTGCCGGAGCTGGAGGAGGTGCAGGTGGCGATCACGAAGCTGGTAAACCTCCTTCGACGGAGAGTGCGGACGCCACGGCTGGACGTGGAGCCGGAGCCGGAGTCGGTGGTGATTCGATTGCGACGGAAGAAGAACGAAGCTTGACAGCACAGTTGTTCATATTGATTTTCGATAATCTGTCTCGACAACCCTATGAACCGGAACTATTCTCGTACGCGTTGCCATGTCTGTCAGCGATCGGGTGTGCTCTCCCGCCGGACTACTCGATTAACATGGGTGATCCAGGTATTGGAGCAGATGGAGAGCAGGGAGGATTTGAGAGATTCGGTTCGAGAACTGGTAGGTCGAGTTCGGGGCCTAGACGAAAGTTTTGTCTGTTTTTTTCTCGATCTGTTTGTCGACATGTTCCTAAGACACTTCCTTGAGCGGGAATTTCCATGACATGTGATTCCGACATAATGGCAATTTTGAATACTAAATTGAAGAGACACGAGTAACTTTGTGCCGGTTCGGAGTCTGGCCCTTCGGCTCCTGTAGACGAGGTCGGGCGGTTTGAAACTCAACTCCGCTCAAGCCGGCCGTGGTTCTACTTGACAAGCAACCCTAGCAACAAAATGCCAACTGCGGTGCTCCACCGGATTTTGTTCGAAAACTTTCACCAGTCCCTAATGGTCCTCTTGGTTGTCAGTTGCAAGTAGTGTGCAGAGCTAAAAAACTAAAAAAAGACAGTTCATCGTGTGCAAACTATGATGTTTTGCAGCCGACCGGGTGGACGCACATCTGTGTATCTGGAAGGGTTATCTAGATCCATGACGTCCGTAAGCCTGACGGCCTTCCTCGAATAACTGACTCGCCAACTATCGACCAATCCTCAACGAGCCGGACTTGATAAAACTTGTCTGTAGCTGTGCTTTGGACGATGTGTTCCACTCCCTTAGTTAAGGTATGGTGAACAAGGGTTTCTGTAATATCTATGCGACTCACCATACCGACAATGTTCCTCATCTGGACAGATCACGTAGAATTATGGAAGACTAGTTAATGAATAAGATTCTTCAGTAACTCTTCGTTCGGTTCAGAATACTGTACAAATGAACCATTTTGAAGATTTAACGACAATGTTGGATATGGTCTGCTGGTATTGTATAGCTACGGTTAGGTTTTCGATACATTCAGTAATATCGGAACTACGCGCTTAAGTTGGGGATTTATGAGACCGCCACTACTGCAGCCCCATTTCCAGCAATTCAGCATTCTCAGACCATATATATATATATATATATATATA